TTTTTTAAATTACTCGTAATTTTTTTAATCAAATATCAAATAATTAATTTTGATAAGAATTTGAGAAATTCAATCTATTTAATATAAAATTAATTTAAATTAATAAACAATTTATCTGGTGTCATTTACTACCGAACTTCCACCGACAGCTATTATTGGAATGAGTGGCAAATAGAAGTAACCTGACACTGCCCTTGATGCGTATGGCCTCCATCAATGTTATAGTTCTACGGGCCTCCTCGAAACCATATACGAAACATTATTATGTGATGCGTCATGTCAATATAAAATAATTAAATTATATATGACACATTATTATGTAACGCGTCATGTCAATATAAAATAATTAATTGAAAATCTCATCATTTCTGAAATTGTGTATGCTACTTTCCTTTCTTACCCTTCGATCATTTAATAAACAATTTATTTCACTTTATTAATTGTTGTATCGAAAAGGAATTCAAGTAGAGACCATCCGTTCATCCGTCCCACCTGCCACGGGGTCCATTTCCCGGACACCACATGAATCATAAATTTACAAAAGATAAAATAATCTTAATGACCAAAAATCTCAGATAATATACGATTTTGACCAATTTTTTTTGGATTTGCGAAAATGACCAACAAAATCGCAATGCGATCTCTAATTCGCATTGCGATCTCCACTATCGTAAATTCGCGTTGCATTTCGCGTTACGATAGTTGAAAATCGCGTTGCGATAGTCTACAGTTATCGTTGCGATAGTTGAAATCGCGTTGCGATAGTTGCAAATCGCAATGCGATTTTCCATTTCGCGTTGCGATAGTCTACAGTTGTCGTTGCGATTTTTCAAATTCGTTATGATAGTTAAAAAAAAGATTTTGTTTCTTAAGAATTTTCTCTAAAAAGATAGTATCCGCGCGGACGTGTCGAAGACACGTATTACCACGACCACGACCACGACCACGACCACGAGACGGACGGCGGCGGTGCGCGAGAGTCCCCATTGTTCTCTATCACTCAACAAGGAAGTGAGAAAGCCAAGCCTTAAATACTATTCCAAATAGTGTTTCCAATACTATGTGGGATTTGAGTATTACCAACACTTGTTCCCAATACTATGTGGGATTGAGCCTTAAATAGTGATATTATTTTTGAATGTTTTGCTTAAAATTGCAATAATCGCGATTGATTGTAGATTGACTTTTAATTATGACATATTTAATCGTATAATACTAATGCAATTGGTTGCTAATTCAATTGTTTTAAGGTGCATGATTGTTAATTGTTTCCTGAATAATCACATTGTATTGGAAACAAGTGTTGGTAATGCTCAATCCCACATAGTACTGGAAACACTATTGGGAATGATATTTAAGGCTTGGCTTTCCCACTTCCTTGTTGAGTGATAGAGAACAAGGGGGACTCTCGCGCGCCGCCGCCGCCGCCGTCTGTCTCGGGTCGTGGTCGTGGTCGTGGTCGTGGTAATACGTGTCTTCGACACGTCCGCGCGGATACTATCTTTTTAGAGAAAATTCTTAAGAAACAAAATCTTTTTTTTAAACTACCACAACGAATTTGGAAAATCGCAACGACAACTGTAGACTATCGCAACAACAACTGTAGACTATAGCAACGCGAAATGGAAAATCGCAACGCGATTTTCAACTATCGCAACGCGAAATGGACAATCGCGTTGCGATTTTCAACTATAGCAACGCGAAATGGAAAATCGCAACGCGATTTTTAACTATCGCAACACGAAATGGAAAATCGCAACGCGATTTTCAACTATCGCAACGCGAAATGAAAAATCGCAACGCGATTTTCAACTATCTCAACGCGAAATGCAACGCGAATTTGCGATAGTGGAGATCGCAATGCAAATTAGAGATCGCATTACGATTTTGTTGGTCATTTTCGCAAATCTAAAAAAAGTTGATCAAAATCGTATATTATTTAGGATTTTTGGTCACTGAGGTTATTTTCTCTTTACAAAATTAGCACTTTCCAACCTTTTCTACAATAAAGAGTTTTATTGCACGTTTTGAACAATCAGTTTTTTCATCGATTTTGTAGATTTTTAATTTAATCAATTCAATTAATTCTAATTTTAAAATTTTAAATTAATTTAATTGAACTGAGATAATTTTATCAATTTCATTTGTTAATATGATTAACTGAGTTATACATTGATTGGGTAAACAAGAGTTTCATCGGTGGGTTAATTTAATTAATTTTTCAATTTTAATTGAAAAAAATATTAATAATTGTTTTTTCTTAGATTCCTTTGTGTAATACCCGAGAAAGGCTGATTTCTTTACGCAATACCCGAAAAGGCTGCTTTCTTTATTCTAAATCAGGGAAAAGGGCTGGTCCTACGGAACATAAAATGTAAAATATTATACAGTAAGTTATATATTACCCATTAAAAATAAGATTTAAATTTAATTTTATAAACTTATATATCTGAATCTCAATCACTTGTATTAGGGATGGCAAAAAAACCCGAACTCGACCGGAAAAAAAAAACCGAATTAAACGGGTCGGATTCGGGGATGATAAACGGGGACGGGGACGGGGACGAGAACGGAGAAAACTCATTTATTTTAAACGGGGACGGGGACGGGGACGGATTTGGTAATCCCTCCCCGATTACCCGCCCCGATACCCGACCCGATAAATATTAAAAATAATTATATATATATATATATATATATATATATAATATTAATAAATTTAATTTAAATAAAAAATATATATTTAATTTAAATATATATATACACCCGACCCGATTCCCGACCCAATACCGACCCAATACCCGACCCAATACCTGGCCCAATACCCGTTTAAATACCCGTTTATGCTAAACGGGGATACCCGTTTCCCCGATTACCCGACGGGGATCCCCGTTTAAATCCCTGCGGTTTTTTAAACGGGGACGGGTACCGATTTTTTAAACGGGGACGAGGACGGGGGGACCAATACCCGGCCCGAACCCGGCCCGTTGCCATCCCTAACTTGTACTAACATCAGGGGCGGACCTCCATAGAGCCCGGGCAACCCCTCATCCAGAGGTGGACCTCTATGATACCCGGGTATCCCAAGCAATCCCTCCACAAGTGACACCCCTAATCCAAGTATCACCCCTCAAAATTATAACCCTTGAGACTCTTGTAATCCTTGACGAAGGCTCTTGGATCCGCCTCTTACTAACATTCATTGACATATTAAAGGTTATATAATTATATTATAATACCTATATTAAATAATTTTTTATTAATGAATTTTTAAATGTTATAAAATAATTATTTCTTAAAAATATTTATAAATGATTATTTATCATTTAATACTGTTTTAATATATATATATATATATATATATATATACACACGTATCATTTTATAATAATTTAATAAATTATTATTTATTTGTTTGTTATACTACCTGCTGAAGTCAATCCTCAATCTATTTTATAAAGATTCGGCCAGGCCCAGTGTTCCCTTGAGCAATCAGAGTACAAACACAATTATTATATGTGATTTTAAGTTACATATAATGGGAAGAAGTAGAATCATAAAATAGTAAAATGGAAATGAAAACAATAATGGGAAGAAAAATGACGTTGTAAGTGTACACTCATAATTAATTCATCATCGTGTATAATTTAATTAATAATCAAAATATTTCAAATTACAAATCATAATAAATCTTGATGTTAGTTATACATAGCGAGATTTAAAATAGAATAAAACAAGAATAAAGTCTCTCAAAACAAAAATAAGAATAAATATTAATTCAATTTTAAATAAATAAAAAATTACTTTATAATCAAATAAATATTAATTTAATTGAAATTATTATAATCATAAATTATCTATAAATTATATATTTTTTATTATTCTTAAGTGATTATAAGGTAATAATGTAGTATTTGTTTGAAACAATTTTAACCATTTGACAATGAACATTCAAACACTCTTGTAGACATCATGTTCGAACCAAATATATTCCCTTTACTACTGAGATCGTCTGGTTCCATATTAAAAATTTATAAAAAATTTAATATGTATTTATTATTTTATGCATAATCTAATAAATGTATTAAAAAAATTAGGGTAAAGTATACATATGATCCCGACTATAGAACGTTACTTTGTTAAGTCTTCCAACTATTAAAAGCTATAAAATGGTTACTGACTATTAAAAGTTACAAAATGATCTCAATTATAGGATATTGTTTTGTTGAGTCCGTGACTATTAAAAATTAGAAAATGATCATCGACTATTCATATGTTCTATACTTGTTTTTTTCGTTAAAAAATTAATGATAGTTTAAGCTGGACGTTAATTTGCTGACTAAGATATGATAAAATCACATTTTAATGATGCTTTCAAACACTGGCTCGATGACATAATAATTCGAGTACCAAATCAACGTCAAAATGTAAACAAGAGTTGATCCATAAAATACAACTCAAATAATTATAAGATCATAATTTATCATATCTTAATTAATAAGTTAACGTCTAGCACAGACGATCACTAAATGAAAAAGGATCAATTTAAAACATATAAATAGTTAAGTGACCATTTTATAATTTTTAATAATAGAAAAATCAATAAAGTAATTTCATAATCAAAAAATCATTTTGTAACTTTTAATAGTCGAGATTCAACAAAGCGACGAGATTATTTGTATACTTTACCAAAAAAATTAATACTACTGAACCCAAAAGGCGAAGGTCCAAAACTAAATTGGGCGAGCTTAATTGAACCAGTGGACTAACGAGCCAGTTATATTTGGGTTAGGCTAACCGAACAATACCCAGAATCACAAAGCTGATTTGATTTTGGAGCGTCCGATTCATACCCAAATCAAAACCAAAACCAATGGACGATGATGCAATAAAGATAACACAAACACAACAGCATCAAAAAAATATCTTGGGCCAAAATTACTAAAAGGACCATGATTTACCCACGATATAAAACAGAAGCGAAGGGCAAATGTTGTCCGTCTTGTAAGTTGAAAACATATTAGTCGTAGGCTATATTCTTTGGCATTTTCATTAGGGTTTTACATTTGTTCACATTTCAACTCTCTCTGCCCAGTACTAAATCATGAGGTAAGCTTAACGATCTTCCTTTTTTTTATATTTTTATTTCCATATCTAATCTTTGGCCCCTGTCGTCCCCGGCTGATTTGAATGATATTAAGCTTTCTTTATCATTTATGTTCTTTGTCTGTTTCAGTATATGCGTGTTCTTTTCATAAATGTTTTCATTATTAGGTTGTTAATTAACTATTATGAAGAATTGCTGTAGTGGGTTTTGATTACGGTTGGTAACTTGGTATCTGCGATTGTTTTGTTTTGGGTGTATTTTAGTTTGAGATTTTCTTTTATTAACTATGGTTGAGTTATTTTGGTTATTTTCTTTCTTTCTTTATAGTCGTTATCCCGAGGTGAAATGGGCTCAAAGAGCTGATAAGGTTTTCATTACGGTGCAATTATCCGATTCGAAGGATGCAAAGGTCAATCTTGAGCCGGAGGGAGTGTTTAATTTCTCTGGTACTGTTGGAACTGGCAATACCCATTATGAGTTGAAGTTGGATCTTTATGATAAGGTCATTGTGGAGGTAAGATATCGGTCAAGTCATTATCGAGAATTGACAAAGCGTATGATCCATTTGTTTAGATTTTTTAGAGAATCCTGGATGCTGTCGATTATGTTGATCAGTTTATGATAGTATTATGTTGATGATCAGTTGCTTTTTAAGTGAATTCCGAATATTTTATACTTGCCTTTAGTGTCCTATTTTTAGTACTACATTTTAAGTGCATGAGATTTTTTGGGTTATATAACTTTATGGATGTGCTTGTTAGAAGGGTGACAAAAGTGAAAGAAAATGAATTTTTGGTGTGTTTTGAAAGGGAAAAATAAGAGTGAAATAGCAAAGTAAATTATTTTACATTTCCGGGTCCAACAACCGTTGAACGAAATAAGTTTTTTTCTTTTTCTATCAAGCATACTAATGCAAAAATTCAAAATTCTATTAACTCTATCGAGCTAGGTCTCAGTTATTTTTGGAACTCCTTGAAAGTGTTGCCTATTAATATGCTCTCAATGCTTGGGATAAACATCCTTCCTTATTTGACATATTGTAAAATTTTACATTTTTTTCTTGAAAAAAGGAAAGCAAAATAAATGTAGGTGTAAGGAGCATATTCTGCATCTTAGAGAAAGCTGAGAAAGTGTGGTGGAAAAAATTACTCCGTGGGGATGGCAAAGCCCCTCATTATGTCAAAGTGGATTGGGACAAATGGGTGGATGAAGATGAAGACAAGGGTATGTTTCTTTATTCAGATTGAATTGATGCGGAGGCCAGTACAGTTTAAACTGAGAATTTATTATTTGCTTCTACTTCTGATCAGGTGCTGGCAATCTTGACTCGGGAGGAATGGACTTCTCGGTATGAGACAGATAATATGATATTTTATGTCAAATCTCTAGTTCCTTCATTAACTTATGAAGACTTCCTTTCTTACCTTGTAATTGTGTTGTTCAGAACTTTGGTGGTATGGGCGGCATGGGTGACATGATGGGCGGAATGGGTGGCATGATGGGTGGAATGGGCGGCATGATGGGTGGAATGGGCGGCATGGGTGACATGATGGGAGGGATGGGCGGAATGGGCGGCATGGGTGACATGATGGGAGGGATGAGCGGAATGGGCGGCATGGGTGACATGATGGGAGGGATGGGCGGCATGGATGAGTTTGAAGGCAGTGATGATGAAGGTAAGAATTGTAAAACTGCTTTAACGGTGATATTTTGCCTGAGATGAACTTTAATCTTGATGGCTCATGTTTAATATGTTTGCTGGTTTCCGGCCAAATGTAGGGCAAGAAGCAACAAAGCAAGCTGACAAGGCTGAAGGAGATGCAAAGCCAGATGAGCATGGCGCAGGAACTTCGGAGAAAAAGGAAGCTGAGGCAAGCACATGAAATCAGTTTAGCTGAAAATTGAAATGCTGTTTAGCTATGGGTGTGCGTTATATTTTTTTTTCCGTATCTTGGACAGGAATGTAAGCCTGGTGTGTTTTTAACTGCGTGAGATTAAAAATTTGGTTAATCCGGGAGGATATATGTTTCTGACCAATGGGTAGACAATTTTAGCTCCTTGACATGAATTAGGATGCTGTACGTGTACCTTTTAAATCATTTAGAAATGAGATAATATTTGTCCCCCCAATAATTCTTTCTGCACAATCCCGAAGAGCTGCTGCTTTTCCTACCTTCTTTGTCGCAGCATCAAAGGAGGCGTCACAGCATATCTTAACAAACCTAGTTTCCGACCGAACTGGCATCATGAAACTTAGAAATTTGCTGTCAATCTTCTATAGGATTACCAATCAATGAATTTGTATATACGAGGTTTAAGTATTTTTGTGTGTAAATTCTTGAATTTCAAGTAAGTTAATCTCTTGGGGCTTCAGACTTATTTTTATAAACCTTCTAGTGTTTTAGGTATAGAAAGGGAGATAAAATATTGATGAATGAGAATTTAATTGATTATTCTTTTGACGGTGTCTAAAAATCTTTCAATAATACCAACAACTAATTGGTCTAGTGGGATGAGATATTAGGTTCTTTAAATAAGGTTAGGGGTTCGAATTTTGGCGTTTGAGAATGGAGCAAACTGGGTTGGGAGAATCGTCCTCGTCTCTGCAGTACTCGATCTGGATTGGTTGGTCAATAGATCTGATACCAGTGATTAATTAAAAAAAATCTTTCAATAGTATTAAATTATTCTAAAATCTTATAAACAAAAATGTTAATTGTTGAATTTTTATTTTTAATACATGTTATGACTCTAACTTTGATGGTATTGTCTTAATCTCAAAATAGGAGGTACTTAGTAATCTAATTTGATGCTTGTGGAAAAGGTGAAACCTAATTTGAAGATTAAATAAAGGGTGAACTACTTGTTTAATCACTCAATAATTTGTGTGGTTTTATTTTGATCATCTAACTATTTTTTTAAATCATACTTAATTATACGTTTTTATTTTATTTTGGTCACTAGTCGTTAAAAAATTAACAGTGATGTTAACAAGTTATTATAAGATAATGTCATATTATCGTTGAAAAAATTAAAACAATGTCATATGAGTACTTCTGTTAATTTTTCATTTATGACTAATCAAAATGAAATCAAAACCTAATATTAGGTATGTTTTTGAAACAAAAAAATAGTTTGATGATCAAGACGAAATTGAATAAACAGTTGGATGACTAAATACGAAATTTACCCTTAAATAAAAGAGGGCAACGAGGTGGCACAAATTGATTGGCCACAAGAAACCAGTTAAGATGAACCTGACCGTTTACAATTGCCTGTGTAAAACCCTGAATTCGTAGGCCTCCCCGCGTTGCTTTGCCTCTTTGCTCTTTTTCAATAGCTAAAGCTCAGAACAGCACAACGACGATTGAGAAAAAAGACACAGAGATGGAGATAGATACCTCAGATATGGACGTAGAACAACAACAACCGGTTCAGAACAGTCAGAGCTCAACCAAGATATTCGGTCTAAAAAATTCGATACAAACCAATTTCGGCGACGACTACGTTTTGCAAATCGTCCCCAGGTACGCTTTGAAAAAGGGAAATTTTTGAAATTTTTGTGTGGTGTTAAAGTTGATGGTGGTGGGTTTTGAAAAAGGGATGATTGGACTTCCATGGCTGTATCATTGTCGACTAATGCAGTGAAGCTTTATTCTCCAATGACTGGTCAATATATTGGAGAGTGTAAGGGACATTCCTCAACCATTAATCATATCTATTTTTCTGGTGCTTCCAATCAAAATGTTTTGCACTCTTGCTCCTCTGATGGAACTATCAGAGCGTGGGATACCAGAACTTTACAACAGGTGAATTTTTAGACCAGCCTTTTCTTGTACAATTTTGAAAAGGACCCTTCTTTAAAAAAATGTGCAATTTGGTTGATGATTTTTTTTAATTTGTAGGTTTCGTGTATTACTGCCGGCTCTTCTCAAGAGGTCTTTAGCTTCTCATTTGGAGGGCCAGATGATAATCTTTTGGCTGCAGGATGTCAATCCCAGGTCTACACATTTTATGTTTTAAAGTTATTGTTTTTCCCACTTTATGTTAGTTTTGGCCTAGTGTTGATGTAAAGCGGGTGATGTTCTTGCAGCATTGTTGTCAATATGCTTATCCTCTGTGCGAAAAGTTGCTAGACACAACTTATTTTTTTGACAGTGCCTCAGTTCTCATGATTGTTACTTGCTTGTTTATCAACGACACAGATACTTTTCTGGGATTGGAGGAACAAGAAGCAAGTCGCATGCTTGGAGGAGTCTCATGTGGACGATGTTACTCAGGTCAGTCTTCCACCCTGTTCAGTTTGAGGTCTATGAGTTTCTACTGTTTCTTCTACATAATTACATCCCAATTTTTTTGACCATGCTTGGAATGCGGAAGCTTAATGTAGATTAACAAATTTATATACTTCAGCCATAAGCTAGTAAATGTTGGGATTTGGCAGCTGAATCATGTGGCTTATTGTTGTCATTGGCATTTATCCTATTGTTGAAAGGTACACTTTGTAGCTGGCCGTCGAAACAAACTAGCTTCTGCTTCTGCTGATGGATTGATATGCATATTTGATACCAACGGGGATATCAATGATGATGATCATCTTGAATCTGTAAGTGCAGACTCATTTATGTTAGTTTTTTCAGTAGATGCTCTACCTGCTAGATGATATTGCTTCCTCATCCTTTTAGAACTACGAAGGCCGGTTTCTTCTTAGGTACTTGTTCCAATCATAAAAAGTTTTAGCAGTTAGCTAGATGGTAATTTGGTTGGTATATTGTTACTTATTAGCATATGGTTGAAACTTTTTGTTGGAGTTGTTGAAGAGCTGTATTTCAGCACATAATTGGGGGTGGGGTGGGGTGGGATACAGATGATTACCGTTAACTCCTTATGAGTTAATCGTCTTAGGATAGCTTTCTATAAATACTTCATTTGCGATTTCCTTGTTTCTGTCTGTTCCTTTTCAAACTGTCCTTTCAGTCTATACACTAAACAAGAAGATGAGTTATTTTAGCTGTAAGATTTCATTTAAATGCTCATAGTCCAAAATTAACTACTATGTTTGCTTGACTTAGTGGTTTAGCGAATGCATAGTTTATTCTTGATAAATTACTGCACATGGGAGTATGATTAATTTTTATCCCAACATTTCAGGCTATCAATGTTGGAACTTCAATTGCGAAAATAGGGGTTTTGGGGGACTCTTCTGAGAAGCTCTGGTGTTTGACGAACATCGAGACCTTAAGGTATCTTTATGTTTGAACCTCAAAACACGAGCTTTTGTTTAATGGAAGCTTCACTTTTCTGTACCCTTCATTTAGTGGTTATGAATTAGGAACTACGCAGAAAAGGTTTAAGCTCCATGACTTTGCTATAAAATGCCGTAAATAGACATGTTTCCCCCAGAACTAGTACTTAGACGTTGGAATTAGGAACCTCAAAACATTTATTTCACTACTCCTTTGTAGTGTATGGAATTGGAACAAAGGAACCAACGAAGCGAACTTTGAGGATGCTCGTTCATTGGCATCAGAGAGTTGGACATTGGATCATGTAAGTCTGAAAATAATTGAAATCATTTACCGGCTTTCTTCTGTTAGGAGTCATTTTTGAAGTTCAAATTCAGAGCTTTTTCTAGGGTAAAGCAGCCATGAAACCGGATTGAACACGCACTAAGTTGTCAATATCTTTTGCAGGTTGCTTATTTTGTTGATTGTCACTGTTCTGGAGGAGAGAATTTATGGGTGATTGGTGGGACTAATGGTGGCTCTTTAGGTTATTTCCCGGTAAAGTATAAAGGAGAAGCAGTGATAGGACCCCCAGAAGCAGTTCTCTGGGGTGGTCATATGGGTGTTGTTAGGAGCATATTGCCTATGTCAAACATGCAAAGCGGACCTGCTCAAAGTCGAGGCATTTTTGGATGGACGGGAGGCGAGGATGGTCGCTTGTGCTGTTGGATGGGCGATGATTCACCAGAGATCAGTCGGTCTTGGATGTCAAGTGCTTTGGTCAAGAAGTCTCCACGAATTCGCAAAAACTGTAGGCATCAACCGTACTAAGCATATGAATTCCTTCTCTCATGGTGTGCGTCTAATAGCGTTCTTTAGTAACTCTACTTTTCCCACTAAACTTTTACAAGTTCAGCAAGTGCTGTTTATTTTGATGTACTGTAATGTGAGAAAATGAAAGCATTCTACCATTAATAACAATTATTTCATTATTTTGTCACTAATTTGGAGTTTTGTAACTAAAATTTTTGAGAAGAAAAACTAACAATTAGGTTCCAACAAGTTGACAAGAGATTATCATGTAACTTGAATGCATAAATTTCATAGTAACCCGTTCTGAATTCTGCGATGTTTACATAATATTGGTTATTTGGACCATTCTGACATTTAAAAAAACGATAGAAACATATTTCAGTTATTTGGATGCAACCTGCTTCTAAAAATAGCAATGTTGTCCAATATAAAGCAGCACGACATCAACCTCGACCTTGGCCACTACCTGTCACCACAAGGAAAAGCAGCAGACCACTAGTCCGAATATGTCAAAAATGTAAAATTAACCATCACACATTATTCAAATGCAAAAAATACACACTATTGTGCAGCTGTTTGTTATAGCAATTTTACCTCTGCTTCCACTGGTCTTTCCACCTGACCCACCCCTGCCTCGTCCACCTGCACCCTTGGCGCCATCTTCAAATCCATACCTAGATCCTTTTGGTTGCCTTCCAGGACCATCTTCTCTACCTCTTCCTCTGCCACGCCCTAAAACAGGAGGCTTCCTATCTGAGAAGGTCAGCATAGTCAAACAGCCAAGTTAACTACTCCAGTTTTCATATGCAGAAACCTCTAGTAGTATCAATTATCAACCTCAAGGTTAAAGTTGTGATAAGTTGGTGCCCGATTCTGAGTGCAAATATCTAGATGCACAGAAACCAATATGATGCAAACAGAATAAGATGGAAACATAAAGGACAATGTATGGACAAAAATTACATTACTTTCAGCAAACAATTATCCAAGCACAATTTAATCTGGCAACATATGCTTCAGAGATTATAGTACATATGCTTGCAATGCAACTCATCAGAGAAACATTTTACTTGTAGCAAAATATTTTTATTTAAATTGAATACTACGATAATTATCCCCACCTTTTAATACATAGAAAGAAAATCATACCTGCACGGCTCTTTGTTTCTTCCTGAACTTTATCAATTACCTGAAGTTCAATGGTAAAGCTATTAAGATTAGCAGATTGGTGAAATAAGGTACTAAAATGGTTGGGAGAACGCAGAATAACAATAATAAAAACCCGGCAACAATAATTTTGTGGAACTTAAAATTTGAGAAGGTGCAACGCGAATGCCAATAAGTACAAAGATCCAAATTTCGGTTTTCCTTAAAACTTAAGAGACGGCACATGTTCTTATAAAAACAAACTATTACCCAGCTAGATATAGAAACACCCATTTTAACACCATAGTTTTAAATCACTAAAGATCCACTATATGCTTTCATGAAGATAACTATAAATCAAGCATTTATAAATTTAACAGATTGAATGAAATTAAAAATGTTATACGCTTAACATAAGGAAACTAAACAACATCTTTTAGGAGTAAAAGCTACCTCATCAGGAACTCGAAGATACTTGATAGTATTTCCACGGATATAGCATTCCGGCATTCGCCAAAACCTGTCTCCATCCTACAACATGTTTTCAATCAAACCCCAACCATTTTTTCCCTTTCTTTAAGAGAAGAAAAAATCATTCTTACATTTATTCTTAATAAGAAATCAAATACAAGAAAGAAACATTGTTCGAGTAATTTTTGTACCTTTGAAGTGCAGATGACTTCTCGAAGATGTATGTTCATCCAAGTGTCGCAATTGACCAAATGTCCGTTATAAGTCTCCCCATTTTTTAGTTCCACCAGCTGTTAGAGAACAGAAAGGGGAAGGAAAAAGAAGAATCGCTTAAAAAATCAATAAATGAACTAAACATTTAGCAAGAAAGTCCAGGATGGGAATGCAAGGGAAAACTGTGATCTTACCATAGGATGGCCCTGAGCAGTTTTTAGTACAGAAAGAGGAAGCTGGCCAAGGTTTAAGTAAAATGGATTAGCCGAGAAAATTAGATACAAATAAATAATAACATTTTAAAAAAATAACAGAAAATAAAATTAATCCAAAAACCCTATGACATCATAGGAAGCGTTGCTTGGAACATTTTTCTTTTTCATTTCCCGGTTTCCCCCTTTTGCAGGCGATTTCTAAGGAATCAAAACGACAAGTTAATAGAGTAACATACCATTTTTCTCCTCTTCGAATGGAGTAGAGGCCTAAATAAGAATCCTCGAAAAAACTGCGACAAAAATAAAGGAAAACAGGGAGAAAAAAAGTCAAGAGCAATATCACGGAAAGTAAGGTAATGAAATTTATTAAGAAAACAAGGAACTAGTCTTAATTACGATAGAACAATTACGATTTCAAATCTAACCCTACCTCAGATGAACAATTTATATAATATTATACAACTCATAATTACAACGAACATTAAAGCTTTGATTTGACAAGGGAAAAAAAACAAGGAAATCAATGTGCTCAATAAAAATCCTAAATAAGAAAGCAGAGTGAAGTCGTTAATACCAACGAGAGAGAAGGAAGATAGCCGAGGAGAGACGAACAACTTTTCAGGCTTTTATTTGAATTTCGATCTCACTTCTATGTTTCCCCCCCGACCTCACGCACTGATTTAAATACAGAGTTTGCTCCCAGGAGATCCGGCGGGGTTTTATTAGCCTTCAAGACGTTTATAAATATAAAAATTAAAAATCTTTTTTAAAAAATAGTACTCATTATTATTAGGAAAATTATCCTAATACACATTCAATACGTGTCATCTTTGGAGACAGTGTTTAAGATTTAAAATAAATTATATTAATATTTATTACTAATTTTAAATATTTTTAACCAATCACACGTATACAGTATACTGATTCATCAAATCTGTATTTTTTTTGTTCATTCAATTTAAGCTTTATCTATTATTTTTTTCATTCAAATCTAATCTTAAAGCACCGGTACCTGCCAATGATTTTGACTTTCAATTTTTATAAATACATGAGAAAATAGCTTCATCAACATCGTCAATATTTAAAGACAACTTTGATAATTACTATAAAAAACATTCTAAATAATTTCAACCATTCAACATTTCTCCATTTCCCCCCACAATGTATGGATGAACATGTATACTCCTGGTCAGAAGTGTTTTTTTTTTGAATAATTGGGGCAAGCTTCACAGGTTTTTTAATATCATTGAAAAGAGTAAACTGAACAAGATAATTTTATATACGGCGCTGTTGGTTCTTAGACGTTTTCTTAAGATTAAATTACAAAAAGAATCGAACCGAACCCAATCGATACGGTAGCCATTCCTAGTAGGGCACTGTTGTACATTTCCAGCGCTTGGGTAGCTAACATCTGTTCGCGAGAGGAACCTAAGGTAACATACAGAATAAGACGAAAACAAGGGGCAGAACCACATGGATGGAAGACGGATCAAGAGCTTGTGTCACTTTCATCTGGTTCTTTCCTTAAGGTTGTCAGGTCTATCAAATGCCGCATCGTCGGTCGGCCATGCGGGCAATTCCACGGCGACTTCAAGTCTGCCAAATGCTCAAGTATCTGGGAACATTACGTCATACTCAGATAAGCAATCATTTTGTACCCGTATAATATGCAGGATTCGGATATATAGAAACTGCAGCCGAATCATCAAATCAAAGCATTGTTTACTTTGCATGGCTAGGAATTGGCCAAAGCGTCCATACTCCATCAAGTGGAGATAAATCCAACCAGTGTATTTAAAGCCTATATATATATAAATGTTCACTATTATAAAAATTTCAGTATCACTTTTACCTTTTGCATTTCATTTCGTCCAAGTGGATCTCCAATCATGACGGATGATCTGCAAGCACGTGACGCTAACATCCCATGGACTCTAGTTGGGCAAACAGAATCAGATGTGTCCATTTTATAACTGCCGATTATTGAGCATTCTCCTTGACTGTCCGAAAGCGTAGAGATCAAGTCTTTGACATCTGTTTAAGGGGATAATCTCTTCATCAGCTTAGCGCTTAGATAATCTCTTCAAGACATCATTACATTTCATGAAACAAGAAGTCTGTCAAATAAAAATTAACCGTGCACATAAGACGGAGAATTTTAGGGTGTTTTTATAAAATGTCAATCACTTTAAAACTTTATTTACAGATGCAGCAATTTTACACGAGTCTAAAAATTGCTACACTCGGTCATATCTACTTGCACATAAGGGTATGCCATACATTGATTATGTTGTTCCCACCATCTTGGTATCTGTATTTCTTCCTTAAATTGCAATGTTGACATTTACTTTTTATATCATGCGTATACCTAAGTAGTTTGCAAGTCAATTACTAGAACAATAAATCCTAATATTGTGCGAGTGAGTTAACCAGCATATAGTTAAAGGGTAAATTGGCTTTGATAAAGAGCATCGTTGAACACATGAGAACACAAAAAAGGAGTACCTTCAACTCCAAAAGTAATGTTTTTACTAAAGGGAACAGCTCTGAGCTTAAAATGGTGCCCCGGTGGAGCATCTGGATCCTCTTCCAAAACAAACCCATTTTTCCTGAATATTTATTAGAAAGATATTCATAAGGCAACCATACAAGATTTACTTCAGAGAGGTCATGAAAATTGAAGTTTCAAAGCATTCAAAAAAGGGGGAAAGATATACTCAAATGAATGAAACATAATCACATCCAACAGGAAACTGAACCTGATTATGTCCATATGCATTGAAGCAACTACTTCTTCTGCAGGAGACAGCTCCAATTTCAGTGGCCTGGACATGGTAAGTCAAGTCCAGAATGTGATTCTCATTGGAAATTAAATGATCTCCATAATCAGAAAAAGAGTTGGAAAATAAATAGAAATAAATCTTAGAATACTAATCCAAAATAATATGACAGTACTTGTATATTCCATACACCTCAGTTCAATTGCTGCATCAGAGCAATCACAAGAACTATATCAAAGTCATCCAATTCCTACCCATTGAATGAAAAACTTGGAAGCTTCAGAAGAAGGGACAGCTTGATTGGTGCTTCACAAGCCACATGATGTATCCATTTAATTTAATAACTCTTAGAACTCTCCTAGATGACAGGCTACAACTACATGATATCTAGACATAAATAGAGTGATAATAACACTATCATATATAACCAATTTCTAGATCATTTTGAGCAAATTGATCATACCCATAAGAATCTACTTTATTTATCAGAAAAAATGATTAAAAAAACTCCTAGCATCAGGATCCCATATGTCGTTTCATGCACTTTTTTAATTATTAATTTTGTGCACTTTTAGGATCTATTTACTAGTCATCGATCATCATCATCTAAAATACTTGGCAACTGACTTCAGCATTTCTGATTGAGAAAACGTCTTTTTTCTTCAAAATAAGTAATTCAACACATAATAAAACTCCTCACCGAAGCAAAGGCTGCTGGTTCAAGATGGTTGATTGAGCCAGATGCTCAAAATTGTATTTCTCATCAGCAGCATGCTGAAAATAGACAGATCTTATGTTATTAGTTATTAAATAAAACAGCAAGTAATTCCACATTAAAGCGGCAAAACCAAGTAGGGACTAAAAGGAAATAGCTCATGCATTACCTGATCCACAATAAATAAATCTTCGTCTAACTTCCCGATAATGAATCCAAGATTAAATTGCCCAATAACCTGTGAAATACGATAGTATTTCATGCATGTATAAATTCAACCAACACATTCACAGTTTCAGACTTGCATTGTAATGTTAGAAAATTAACCTACTAGATACCAATATTATTAACAGAGACATTAGGTCGAGTTCATGATTGTCAATAAAGAAAATCATATTACTAACAAGAACTGGATAACAATTTCGCTACTTGGATTGAATCTTTTCATGGACCTTTTCTTCTTCATGCTGAGGAATCTATAACTAGTGTGCAATACTCTTGACATCCTCTGTTGCCTCTTTGCCAATAGGTCTTGAAATCTAAACTCCAAGATGGAACATATCTTTTTATCAGATGGAGGTATGGGAGCATCTACAACTAAAGCAGAGGATAAAGACTCTAATGTTGGAACTGTCAATGCCTTTTCAGGTACATCCTCAGGATTCTTGTGGAATAAATCAATTAGTTCTTTTCCCGCATAAGGCACCATGTTTTCGTGATTCTGTAATTCATGTAAAGGAATTAGCTGAAATCAAAAGAGAGAACATTGATAACAGTTAGACATTAAAGTTGATCTTCATGGTCCTGAAGGATTGTACCGCCATAACCATATGATATCTACCTAGGTTTCAGAGAAAGGATAGATGCATTGCACATAATTATGATACAGATCTTTCATAACTATAACCAAATACTCATGTTCATTTGAGGCATCTGATATATGTTTAACTAGGATATGCTGGATAAAAAGAAGAATCAGGTAGCATAGTTTAGAACAAAGTTTTGAAACCAAAAAGCAATATGCAGGGTTTTCCTAAATACTGGTTGGAGTTACTTTTGTTCTCAATATGGAATTTATCCAGCTTAGTTTTTCTTTTCTTGTTTCTTCGCTGGTAAAGCAGAACCGAATGAGTTTCAAATAGATAACAGGACCATGTACCTCTCCAGGTTTTCCACCACTAGGAGAACTAGGGTTTCCAATTTCACCCAAGATGTTATTTGCTCTAATAAACTTTCTAGGCTCATTCTCCTTCAACTTATAGGAATCATCAACTTGATCTCTTGAGCTCAAAGCACACATATCTGAATTGCTGTTCTTCGATTGATAATGAAGATTTTGATTTCTTAAGACAGGCCTTTCCGATAATACAGTACTAATGCTTTCATGTTTCCTCTTACTTATGGTTACAAATTCTTTCAGCGATGATTGAACACAGCTTGAATGACTCTTACGATCTCTACTTATAAAAATTTCTTTCCCAATTGCAGTTGAGGAAGATGCAGAATCCTTGTTAGATATACTGTTCATATGAGTTGTCAAACCCCCATTATTAGGCTCTGAACCATTGACCTTATTAGTTCTGTGAACTTGTAAGATGAAGTCCTTCTTCAATGAACCCTGATGGTGTCTAAGGATTGGTCCTTCTGAAAAATCCTTGTTAAGTGTACCATCCATATGACTTGTCAATTGCCCTGCATTAGCCTCTATAACACCATCAATCTTGTTTGTTCCCTGTACTCCTAAAGTCGACATGTTCTCATGATCACTAGAAACAAATCCTTCTGAAAACTCCAAACTTTGAGAGTTGATTTTAACAGTTGTAAAAGAGGGGTCCCCCTCCGCAGAATGTTCCTTCGTGGAAAGTTTCAAATTAACTCCAGCTGGAGGTAACTTTTTTAAAAGGCTATTATATTTTTCTAGTGAAGAGCAAAACTCAGAGGATTCAGCTTCCTTAGTGCTCTCAACACCATTAATTATGTAACTGGCATTACTCGAGGAATATATCTCCTGCAAACCCTCTCTCAAAGATCGCAAAATCAAGCTTTCATCAGAAAAGAACACTTTTCTTTTATCAGGAGTGACATTCACATCACATTCTCTAGTTGGAATGATAAAATTCATTACGGCTATGGGATACTGCTTAGAGTTTGCACCTTTATAAAATTCATTCACAAGCTTGCTCACCTTAGGCATATCCACTGGTCTACCATTTACAAAGAAGTATTGTCTATCTCCCAGATTGCGGCCACAACCCTGTCCAGACTTAGAAATAAAACCTTCAATGTTGCAGCTGTCTGATATACCTATAGATACAGGCTTTAAGCCGCTAAATGTGTTCACACCTAAAACTTGTATGATGTTATCTTTGAGGGAACAACTTCCCTGTGTTTTAAGAACCACAGACTTCGAATTTTTTCCGCTTGTGTTGCTGCAGACTAACCTGACCCCTTTTGCTGTGAGTGCATATGCCTGAATTGAAAGAACATTAGAATAATATCCTTTAATCCAAAATATTCTGGAGTAGTGAATGGATGAGTAATAAATAACTCAATGAAGACATAGCACAAAACTATGATTTAATGAGTATCCCTAAGTTCCTAATTATTAACAGAGAAAGGAGAAGAAAAAGCCAAAAGATAGTTGTCACGGTAAGAGACCCAAGAGATTACTATTTTATGAACTAATAAATTATATAGCGCCATGATGTGTCTGTGCACTGTAAGGATGAAACCATTAATCACAAGATACTACAAGGTTAAGCAAACAATAACTGAACAACATGTTGAGCATTACATAGACCCCGATCATAGTTTATAGGCATTTTTAATATCGTCCTGAAAATGTAGCAAATCTTACTATAAAGAGGTTCTTATATAAATTGTCCTTCTAAATCAAGGACAAGGACTCAAAAACAGAAATTTTCAAACCTATTTCATAATCTCCAAAGGCACAACAAATGAAGGAAATCAAATGTTTTTATCCACACATCAAAATATACCTATATAACAAGTAATAAAGTATAATTTTAAAGCTTTTGCCACCCATGGATGCACTCACAGTCAACAAGGAAATAAGTTTGCCATACTCCTTGCGTATGTTGCGATGAAATTCCTTGTTTCGCACTGGTAGGTTCGAGAACAACTTCTTTACAGTGACTGTAGTACCAATTTGCCGTGCAATTTTCTTCTCAGCTATTAACACACCCGAATGATCAAAAGTTAAATGCGTTGCAACTGGTTCATTTTTCGTTCTCGTTTCAATTGTCAGAATCCCCAAAGAGCAAAGCGAACTCAACGCTTCCCCTCTAAATCCAAACGTAGTCAGAGACTCAAGGTCTGGGAAATCCGCTAGCTTCGACGTATGATGTCTAAGTGCCACCACCTACAAAATAAAAACAAGTGTTTAAAATTACAAAAAAAAAACGAGGGAAAATAAGTGGTGAAACTTTTGTGATGCTAAATGGTGGATAATTTACCTTGAAATTAGTAGGGGAAATGCCGCAGCCATTGTCGATGACCTTAAACCATTCTTCTCCGTACTCTTTTAGAGCGATTTCGACGGTGGTGGCGCCAGCGTCGAGGCTGTTCTCAACGAGTTCCTTAACGGCTGAGGAGAGGTCTAATATGACTTGACCGGCGCAGATTCTGTGGACAACGCCTTTGTTTATAGGCTTAATTACCGGGGAATTGGACGGAGCCGGTCCTTCCATTGCAAGAGAGTAAATAATTCAACGAACCGAGCATCCACGAGAAACTTGAATGACAAAACCCTAGATAATGAATTAAGAGTACATAGAATTCCCTAGTCCGAGGCCAATAGTGAGAGTTAGGATTTAGAACATAGAGAGGGAGAAAGACCAAATCCTATTCCTATCTCGCTAGATTATGCCGCCAAAAAAAAAAAAAGCAATGCGACGAGCTGGTTACTTGGTGGCGCCAGTGAAATATTAACTCCGTAATCCGTACACAATTATTTCTTATGAAAAGGATTATGTCATAAACAATACTTAGTACTTACATCCAACGGTATTAAATATGCTTTAGTTACTAAGTAATAATTTCTCTTAAAAAGAATTAATTAAATCTTTTTATCATGATATCACTAGAGATGAGTATTTCATTAAAGTTCGACAGATTTAGATATGATCTTATAAAATCGATTTTTATTACTTAAATTTCGTATTAGATTTTAAAAAATACAAATCAACTAATATGAGTTTAAATTTGGAGTAAAAAAATTCAAAATAATACTCACTCAGTCCCATTAAATCTATTCATTATTGATTTTTTAAAAGTCAAAATTTAAATTTTGATCATAACTATTTTAAATATATTAAATAATTAAATTATATAAAATATATAGTTAAAAAATTATTTAATATTTTTAATATATATTGTTATATTTTTATCAATAATAAATTTTAAATAGTAATGAGTTAAAATTAAAAGAATTGATAAAAATAAATAATAGACAGATTAAATAGAACAGAAGAAATAATATTTAAAAATAATTACAATAATGTTTCTCTTTATATTTTTTCAATTAAATTCATATTTTACTTATCAAAAATAATTTTCTTTCACATATATTTATTTCGAATCTCAAAAGTGAATTTTATTTTAAAAGTCAGTTGTATCATATACAAATAAAGCCTCTCTAAATCTAGACCAATTCAATTGATGGTAAAAAAATATAATACTCGAATTGGATTTAATTGAGTCAAAAATCCAATCCTACTGAATTTGTATTTATCTCTGATTATTATTTAATTTACGTGAGAATTATCATATCAACATCATAAATTATTATTAAAGAACTACGAAAATAAATTATATCTTGAATGAAAATAAAAGAAAAAAATGCAATTAAAATTGTATTAGAGTGGTTATGACTTCCAGACAACAATTGCTACATTGCATTGCTTTGCTACAATCGTAAAAGAAAATAATTAGATATCTCTCATGTTTATTTGAACATTTATGTAAATTGTACGTATTCCTCAAAAGCATATTTTTAACCCCGCAAATTTGGTGCCAATTCTTGAAGGGCTACTTTTAAATTTATTTGAACATTTATGTAATTTGCTTGCCCTTAAATTTCATTAAAGTTCTCTTCTGCCGACCACACTGACGGTGCCATGAGAACGAACCCTAAAGCTAAACACAAATAAGGCCAACAATGGAGTCCACGACTCCAGTTTTCAGGTAAGGAGCTGACCACCTAATCCCCCAAAACCCTATTTCATTGCCCGCGAACCGATTTCCCCATTACTCGAAGTGGAAACCACGTGTCCCTCTCCGAAAACTTTTGCGATTCTATCAGTCGGAATCAACGGCAGATACGACGCTACCGCGTACCCTCTCTCTCCAGATAGACGGACCGCCTGATTGTACTTCCCCGACCAGTAAGCAGCCGTGGGGATGACCACTCTATGAGCCACTTGAGGGAAAAGCGGGAGACGGTTAAACGACCGCCAAGCTGAAACGGAGTACCGTTCAGCCACCAGTTTGTACTTGTCGTACATCTCCTTAGCCCTCGGTTCACACGTAATGTAAACGTCCCTCGTTATCGTCTTAGCCGCGTCTAGAACACCGACTCGTTGGACCTCCGAAGCCATTGTTCGAGCTTGGCATGAAGCCTGTTTTACGATAGACGGCACGTGACGTTCCAACTTGCCCACCTGTAGACCACGTGTCAAGAATAACGGTTACTTAACAAAACGGACCTAATAAAAAGAGAAAAAAAATGGCGTTTCGCGGGGCAGAGTGTGAATGTATACCTTGCTATCGACAAACTTGAGAAGCTTGAATGGTACATCATGGAATTTGTCGTAAACGGGGCCGATGACAGCCTTGACAGTTTTTTCGACGGTTTGTACGCCCGGTTTAAGTGGCCCGGAGTTTTCTCTAGCGTACTCGTAGATGCTTGATACACAGACAACTGCATAAATTGACGCCACTTTAACGAAATCTAGATACTTGAGCTTCTTCTCTATATTTTCTTCGATCTACATTGGAAAAAAATAACTTCTCATCCATCGAAAGGGAAAATTCAATTATCAAGAGATGCTTCTTCTTGCGCTTACCGCCTCTGTTTGTTTAGGATCTGAATCAGTGGTTGATGATTTGATGGTGGCTTCTTCCTCCGTTGGTTGTTTGAGATCTGTATCCGCCGTTGTTTTCACCATTTTCGAGACTACTACTTAGGAAACAAAGTATTCTTCGAATATAACGGAAATGACAAACCAAAGCGTTGTAACAACTCCCCTTTTTATAGCAATTATTCTATCTCAAGCGTTGATTCTTTGTGCAAGATCGACGGTCGTGATACGTTATTATTCCACATGGCAAGATATTAGAAGTGTCATGTGATCAGAAGGAATTAAGACTTGACAGTTTTGGAGTCTGTATAGTTTAGGCCGAGGGCAAATGTTGCAAGTCCATGGAGAGTAAGGGTTTGAAGTTTTGGACGAATAGGTGTCGTCAATAATTGACAAGTGGCAAAAGGAGATAGGGTTTTGTATCTTTACGTGCGAAGATATCATAGCTTGGCATGGGCACGGTTGTTGGCACGTATTAAGGAGATGCATATGTTGCTTTCGACGCTCTTTTTTTTTCTCATGTTTGATGTAGGGTTTATATATAAAGATTGCTTTAATATAAAATAAATGTTCAAATTATACTATTTTTTCTATTGAGGTATTTAAATTATTTTGTTGTTAATTTAGATGTTTAATGTTACAAATGTTATATTTCAAGTATCCAACCATAATGACTATTACAAACGTATTATATTGTGATAATTTTGAATTTTTTTTTAAAAAAAAAGCTTAAAAATAATTTATTATTATAATATATATATATATATATATATATATATATTAAAATCTCCCCTCCTAACTATATATATATATATATAATAAATTATTTTTAAGCTTTTTTTTTTAAAAAAAAAGGGAGGCCAAGGAGAAGCATGCTCAAAACCAAGGGGGCAAGGCTAACTTGCAATGGCTTCTCATATATCGGATTTGCTTTTGTTTCTATACAAAATTGTAATGGTCTATTGTGTTAACAGGTCCAACTTCAATGTGGGTATTGGTAGCAAACATAGCCCATAAGAACTATTAAAGGCGAAGCTGAAGCCCAATTCATGGGCAAAGCTTGATGAAGATGGAGGATCAAGTGGAAGTTTTGAGGGAAGTATTCGGCGAATCATCGTCAGACAGTGAAGACCTCGATCCCCAACTGAACAGCAAGCAAATCGCAGACCCAATACCCTCATGGGAAGAAATCAAGAAAATCAATGGATTATGGCTATGCAGGAACTTTCTGTCTCCTCAACACCAATCTTCTCTGGTTTCTTCCGTATTAAAAGGTTATTTTCTTTCTCACAATGATTAGATATCTCTGATGTTTGATTTCGTCGCTGATGGATTTGGTGGGTTTTGTTTGCAGAAGGCTGGTTCAACGAAGATTCTCACAATCAGGTACGTGGACACTTTCCTATATGCTAGAAAACACTCAATTTGTGGATGTACAATGGGCAGTGGTTTAAGGGTGGGTTTAGTATTTCTTTTTTTTGGGGGGGGGGGAAGTTTTTATCTAATCGGATCTCTCAGTTCAGTGCTTCTGCTTTATGTTATGTCTTTAATCATGTTTAATTCAGGCCATGAGATTTGGGGATCTCCCAGCATGGGCTATTGAGCTTTCTAGCTCTATACGTGAAGCCATCCTCGTTGGGGATCATGTATCTGAATCCATAGACTTGGTTACCTCTAATGGGGGCACCGAACCCTGTTTGTTACCGTCGAATTTATTGTGGAGAGAACCTCTGTTTGATCAACTTATTGTGAATGTATACCATCCAGGTGAGGTGCGACATTAACATTATGTAGTTGGTCCAAAATCAATGAGCAACATCTTCATGATAAGTTCGTAATTTTTATTTATTTATTTAGGGAATCTGTGCTCATGTTGACCTTATGCGATTTGAAGATGGAATTGCCATTGTGTCACTAGAGTCATCATGTGTGATGCACTTCACCCGTGTCGAAGAAGGAGGCTCTGACATTAATAAGCATGGTGAAAAGCATCCAATCCCTGTTCTCTTGACTCCGGGTTCTCTGGTTCTAATGTCGGGTGAAGCTCGGTATCAATGGAAACACGAGATAAACCGCAAGCCGGGGTTTCAGATATGGGAAGCGCAGGAACTGGTTCAGGAGAGGAGAATTTCCATAACCTTGAGAAAGCTGTGCCAGGTCGACTAGCTTGCCATGAAGAACACTTGCTATATCTTTTATGTTATTTGGTTTTAGTTCAGCTTCATAGATCCCTCATGAAAATGGTCGATAATGGAGACAATTCCCCTACTCGGGTTCTATGCTCGGGGAATATTATATAGTAGCAGTGTTCATCAGAAGAACTTGGAATATCGACAATATATACTTCAAAACGATGAACTTGTAAGAAGCAACAGAGAAATCAAAAGGACATGTTTCTTTCTAATCAATCTATTGAACAAACGTGCAGCTTGATCTTATTTGATTTACAAAACACACACACACAACTATCATTTGACCGATGTATGCTTCAAAGGAAGACGAGCTTTAAATTTACAACGACCAAGAACGCAGCCCATGCCAAACAAGGCAAAACCAAGTTACCAGCAATCGGATTCACTTTTCCGAAATCCCTGGAACACCCAAGCAGAGTCGCAACCATCGCCAAGCTCACAAGTAACCCGGCCCAACTGGCTCCCATCCAAAACACGGTCGGTAACCAAGCCAAGCTCAATCCTAAGTAAGCCGTATAAAGAAAAAAAGCTGTCGGCCTGATGTGAAACCCGCCGTCAGCCCAAACGAACCAAGCCGAGAGACCCATCAGGAAGCTCTCGGCCAAGCAAGCTGTATGTAAAAGCCACGAAGGAGGGAACCAGAAGGGTTTGGGTTGAGCGCCATAACCACGACCTGAACCAAACAGGTAGATATTCAATAAGGTGAGAGACAAAGGGAGCGAAACTGCTATGACTAACGATCGTAGGCCACGTTTGGCCATTTCCATCCTCTTTTCTCGCCTGTTTCTGCTCTTCTCGTTGGTGGTAGCGGTAGCGGAAGCGGCGGAGGTAACACCGGAATCATCCCTGGAACGTTGTCTAAGATTCTGGGAATCCATGGGAGAAAGCAACGGAGATTAATTGGAGGCTGTAGTTTTATGATTGAAGATGGATTCCAGGAGGGTTTATGTAAGGAGAGCAACATTTTGGGGAGGCAAACAAAGAGTGACAGGTGGCGGAGTAATTGTTTGAAGGATGGACAATGACAGCGACGGTCATACACGTGGATGAGAAACGTGGCCATTCGGTTTTGGGGGGACGGCTTTTTTGTCGACATAAAGCTGGGTGTTCCTAGTGCTTCTGGGGAGACAGATTTAATCAGTATGTAAGCGGATAACATTTGACTAAAATAGAATACGACTGGATAAGTTCTTCTGCACTTACTACTTTTGGTTTTCTATGTCTTGGGAATACACGGTGAATTTTAGAATTTAAATCCTAGAAAATTTAATGATTGGTAATATAATTTTATTATTTTTTCTTAAAATAATAAAAAAAATATATGGATTACCAAACATTAAATGAATATGTTTATAAATGTGAAATGAATTAAATATAAATATTTAATAAATAAATAAATATAAATATAATATTAAAAAATTAAATGAGCACATATCAAACATAAATACTTTTAAATATAAATAAATATAAATATAACCTTATTTTGTTCAAACACACTTCATTAACACTTATTTTACCCATAGCAAAAAATATAAATAAGCATGAATAGTAAACCAAAAGTGAGAGTTTAGAGGAGAAGAGTGATGAACAAGGGTTTGGGTTTGTAAATGTGTAGTCGAGTATCCATCAAATGGATCTATTTTCAGTATAAAGCCCAAATCAAACGGTCCACAATCTAACCCAAGTATCCTACTCTTTCATTTTCGACTCCTGCAATTTCCTTCTTCATCAATACACAAGCCAACACAAATTCAACCCAATATACAGAAGAAAAAAAGAGGGAAAAAAATCATGGCAGTGAAAAACTCAACATCAGCTCATGGAAAACGTTCGAGGAGAAAAGCCGATGATTCATCTTCTCTGATCCCCAAACTTATGAAAACCCCAAAAACAACAATGGCTTTAGCTTTACTCATCATTGACTCCGTCCTCGTTTCCTTCATCATCGCTTACGTCCCTTGTAAGATTTCGAAAATCCTACTCTCTTTCTGTTATTTCCCCCTCTCTTCCCTGTATAATTGAGCTCATGGTTACTTCTCGCGGTTTTTAATTTTCAGATACGAAGATAGATTGGGACGCTTACATGTCTCAGGTGTAGTAATTTTTATCCTAATCTAGCTAATTTCCTTCCTGGGTTTATTTGGGTGTTTGTTTTTATTTAATGAGATAATGTTTTTTCAAGATGACAGGTTAGTGGGTTTCTTGGAGGAGAAAGGGATTATAATTTCCTTCTTGGGGACACTGGGCCGCTTGTCTACCCGGCTGGTTTCCTTTATGTTTACTCTGCTATTCAGTATGTTACTGGAGGACAAGTTTTTCCAGCTCAGGTGATCGTTGTAGTTAGGCAAATTGAATTTTCTTGCCTATGACATGTGCTTTATGTAAACTGGTTTTGCATGCTGACATTTTTGTTTTGTTGTTGGTCGCAGATTTTGTTTGGGGTTTTATACACCATAAACCTGGGAATTGTCTTATTAATCTATGTAAAGACTGACGTGGTATGGAATTTGCTTTTGTTCACAGTTCAAGCACTAATATCATGCAAAATTCATAAAGCTGAGAAATACATGTCTTTAACTGAGTGCTCTCAATGCTGGAAACTTGTATACTTGAGATCACTTGATTTTAGTTATGATTCTCTGATACCATTTTCACACTTAAGCACTACTAACGTTTGTATCTTTTCTCGTCAGAAACAATCAAATCTCTGGAAAAGGAAAATGTTCTTTATTGTTGATGTTTCTTGCTCTATTTTGTATCAGTGCTTCTTTTTTTTATTAGCATTTACTGTTCTCATAACGTCTTGCAGGTTCCATGGTGGGCTCTTAGCTTGCTTTGTCTTTCAAAGCGAGTTCACTCAATATTTGTGCTTCGACTGTTTAATGATTGTTTTGCAATGACATTCCTCCATGCTGCAATGGCATCCATTCTTTTTGGGTGGTGGCGATTCGGGTTGATTATTTTTAGGTAGTATGCTTACTTTATCAACACAATCTTTTATTCCCTTTTAAGAAGGAACAGAAAAGAAGTTGATCCTACTTTCTCTCTTTTTTATGTGTAGTGCTGCAGTTTCAATAAAGATGAATGTCCTCCTCTTTGCTCCATCTCTTTTTATACTCATGATAAAGGTGCATTATCTTCTGCTTGATTATGTTTTTCTAGTAATTAACAACTAGGTTAATTATTTTACTTAAAACAGTTGCATATTTCTTTGTTATCACCTCTTATAACAGGCTATGAATATCAGTGGGGTAATATCAGCTTTAGCAGGTGCGGCACTTGTGCAGGTGTGTCAGCTATTCCTTTTTGGCCCTTGATGACTCATTACTAGCATTGGAATTTCCTGATAATCGGGATTTCTAGTTCTAATTTCCTTGCTTTACCGATAACACGGGAAGTAGATATATAAATCTCCATGCATCTTAATTTATATTCAATGTGTTTAGGTAAGTTGGACTACCGCAAGTAATTCTGTGGCAGGAGGCATTGCCTGTCAATATGTTTATTCTTTTCTACATACTCAGTAAAAGGTTCTGCAGATTGTGCTTGGGCTGCCATTTCTAGTTTCGTATCCAATTGAATATATATCGCGTGCCTTTAATCTTGGACGTGTTTTCATCCACTTCTGGTAATTTTATAGCATTGAAAATGCTCACCGTTATCCTTAGTTTCCAGTTAATAACATGTTGACAGGATTAGTCAGTAGCATCTTTTCTGAATGGTGGTAAATGGAAATATTGTTTATGTAATTTTTCTTGGATTATTGATATTGCAAGGAATACTAGCTTCATAGTTCATCAACTAGATCGATTTTCTTTTGCGCATGGGACTACAGATTAGATTGGATTGCTAGATCAAAATCTGACCTGAAAGAATTCTGAAGTTGAGAAATTTGTTGTTTAGCCCTTTATAAATCCTTTTGATAAGAAATTATTTATTTGGTCTCCTTAATGATTGTCTGCCCTTTTGCAGTCAATGAACTTAGTATTTAAATCTCACACACTTGCCTTAGAATATAAAAAGCCGTATAGTTTTCAGAGATTACGAGATACTATTCTGAGTAATTTTTTTCAAGGGATAATGGTTCAGGATGACATTTACTAAGGGGTTGTATGCATAAGTTTGCTTGTCACTCTTTATTTTGCAGTGGTTTTTTGTGAATAGCGCTATACTTTATTGTTTTCTCGACAATACTTTTTGTAACTTTCACAACAATGGGTGTTGTTGAGGTCTAACTTTGACTTTTATTCTTTGCCAGGTCTGTCAACTTCAAGTTCATTCGTGAACCAATTTTTGTGTCGAAGGAATTTGCCATCACTTTACTGATTGCTCACCTTGTTTTGCTTATAGTATTTGCTCATCATAAATGGTGCAAGTAAGTAAAATGGCTTATGTTCTCTTAGTAGTAAATGCTTAATGTGTGGTCACCAGGTTTTATTTTTTCAGGAAAAAGCTAGTTTGGGGAATGTTTGTGCTGTTTATCATAAAATTTATAAATTTAACCTTTTAGGCAATATTTGTTTGCCATGTAAATTGTATAAATCATTTTGATTGCTCTTATATATGACTTGTAGGCATGAAGGTGGGCTTTTTAAGTTTTTATATTCAAGGATTAGGTGTTGTTTGTCATCGTCCAGTTCTCCTTGGCCAAAACCCCTCAAGAAAGAACGTAAGTCTTGACCCTTCTGTGATTTTTCCCTCTATTTCTCTTCGTTGCAATACTAAATTTGGTGGCAATGAATCTACAGATATTGTGACGACCATGTTTTCTGGAAACTTCATTGGCGTTATATGTGCCCGTTCATTGCATTATCAATTCTACTCTTGGTGAGTGTCCTGCTAGTACAAATGCCTTTGTATTCATATCTTCAACACCTCCCATGATACATATAATTATGGACAATCTAGATAAGTTCTTTTCTAGTTTGTATATATTTGATATATGCTCTACACAATCGTTTAAGTGGAATCACACATTCAGATCCCTCATCTGGTCTTAACTATAGTCTCTTGGTGCAGGTATTTCTATAGTTTGCCTTACCTATTATGGATAACACCTTTCCCTACGTTGCTTCGGTAACTTCTTTACCCCAACGCAGTTTTGAATAAATTCGGTGCAGTTACTTCTGTATAATAATTCTTTATTCTTTCGCTTGTTCAGTGTGCTTATTTTCGTTGGAGTGGAGCTGTGCTGGAATGTGTTCCCATCCAACTTGTATTCATCTATTCTGCTCCTTTGTCTGCACTTACTTATACTGTTGGGTTTGTGGTATTCTACGCCCGAAAATCCTTACGCGAGTGAGAAGTCGGTTAGTCGAAAGGAAAAATGAAGCACCCAACCATTGTATGAACTTTCTTCATTTTACCATTCGATGAAATGATGAATCCATTCATTTCTTAAAGGTTTAATCATACCCCCGACCCTTGTATTCTTAAGATATAGAAATTTTAGTTTGCTTTGAATTTCTGTGAGGTTGGTCTCTTGTTTGATTTGTAGAGTAAAGTTCAATTAATAACAGTTATTTCAATTAAATTCCAATGTGACATTTTATTATTCAAAGATATGATTTTAAAATTAAAGTCTTATAACAGACTAAAATTTAATAGAAGAGAGTTTATAGTGCTTTTACTTGGATAGAAGAAAAAAATTTCGGAATTAAAAGGTTAGGACTAAATTCAAAAGTCCAATTAGTAAAGGTACCGAGGGTATAATTAAGATAAATTATAATGTATGATTAGGCTTTCACTTGAAGGGATTTAGGGCATAGTTAGACCAAAATAAAATACAAAAGCAGATTGTTTGTTTTTGAAAGGAATACAAAAGGCAGATGAGACTTGCTCCGGAAGGGATCCATTCCCCGTGTTTAAATTTTGAATTCACTCGGCGCGCTCGCTCACTCACTCACTCCTTTCTTATTTGGGCTTTTGCTTAAAATGCTCAATCACAAAAATACCCTTTAATTTGAAATATTTTTCTCTATTATAAGTAGTATTACTAAAAGAAATTATATGCTTCGCTATATGAAAATATATTATTCAAACACGTACGCGTGTATATCAAAACTCGGTATAAATAAATTTTCATTTAAAAGATCTAATCTTACTAAAAATAAGAACATCCAAGATCCACTGCAATGGTTAACGTTATTTCCTTTCCTTCTTCTTTCTCCATTTTAGCATCGTTCGAACTGATAATCTTCCTCAATATCACTTTGCTCCTAATCCTTTTTAATTGCTCAGAACGCTACGATCTAAAAAGTCATATCATTTTTTTCATAAAGGATTTGAAATAAACGGCTACTTGTTTTAGATCCGTTCTCTTAAACTCGTGGATATAGATGGTTTTTGTTAGTTAGGGATTTTGATATATATTTTTTTCGATTCAGTAACGTTTTTTTGGGTGATTAAAATTGTTTGTGCTTGAAATGCTGGCGTTCGGGTTTAATTTATGGGCTCTGTTATCACTCTTTCTGTCTTAGTGTATTATGAGACTGGAAACTTAACTGATGACATGCAATTCCTTGTTCTTTTTGAGAATTTTCATAATTCCTATGCAGTTTCCGCCCAAGTTCGAAAGAAAATTGATTGTTTGTGTAAAGTTCGTTAGAGGAGAACAGTTTCTAGGTAGTTGAGGATTTGATCAACTAATGCTATGAGATATGATAGCTGTCTGTTATACTTTCAGGACGGTCATAATTCGGACGAGTCGAAGCAAAACACTGCTGATATGACTGTTTTTGTAAGTTCCTAACCTTTTCTTTGTAAGATGAAAGAACTGCTTTTAATGAATGATGTTTATGCTAGAACCATGATGGCATAATCACTGCCGATTTTGATTCATATTGAATTGTTAAGATTGCCCTAGTTGGATAATACTCTCTAATGGATGTAAATCAGTAATCGGTTGCTTTGGTTTTCTAATTTCCTTTATTATAAGTGTTTGATATCGATTTCTTTGATTTTTATAGGTGCAAAATCTTCTTCAACAAATGGTGAGTTATAATTGGACCCTCTTTTGTTGGATTTTTGATTTCTGTGTTGACGGATTTTTGTTTGCAGCAATCTAGGTTTCAAACAATGTCTGATTCCATTATCACCAAGAATATCCTTTCAAATGTTCTTTCATAAGATATAAGCTTTTGTCAACAATGTCTGATTAAGTAAATAGTTTGTCGTAAATGTTACTTACTGGAAAGATTCTTTCTTGTTGAGCTTCTAGTTCTATTGTTACATAAATAGATTGAATTGTGTAGTCTTTAGTTTAGTTATTCATTTGCAGGAAATCCTAGACTTATAAGACTAGGACGTTTTCTGATACAGTGATGTGAACCTATATCTAATAATTGTTATGTTGGCGTGATTTGAAGAAGTTCAAAACTTTCTTATGTTTCGATGGTTTAGCATTACTTTAAATGAAAATAGTTATGCATCACTGACAAATATGGGACATGTATTGTTTACTTAACTCCTAAGCACTTGACGACATGGGAAACCGTATAAACGAGTTGGAGCAAAGCATAAATGACCTAAAAGCAGAGATGGGAGTGGATGGCTTCTCATCCCCTTTAGAACCATCAAAGCAAAACTCGGATGATGCAAAGCAAGATGGAGGCTCAGCATAATACTCGGCCGAAGACTATAGCTTTGCAGTTGCTTGTGACTTTAATTTGGTGGTAACTGGTTTTGTTTGAGAAAAATATTGTCGAGAAAGGGACTTTACTGAGAATCCCCATCGCCATTTTTACTTGTGTTAAGTATTTTCGATGAACTGTGAGAAAACAATTATCTGCATTAAACACCAGTAGATGCACTGTTTGTTGGGCGAGTCATAGATGTAACTAATCTGCAGTAAACAATATGATGTGATTGTTAACATTCCTGCTTTATTCATTGGACTTGGCCGGCTGTTATGCAGTTCCCAGCTTTGTTGGCCATACTCATGTGCAGAATGCTATCACCAACACTTCTGATGTGTAATTCTCATGGGATGCTGTGATCTACAATGCTTCAAAGCTCTGTGCTAACTTTTAGGTCAATAATCTGTCGAAAGTGTCTCGTTGAAACCTCTTGTAATTGTTCCACCAGCTGCAAATACGATCCTCAGGAGCTCAACCTCAGCTTTGAGTTGCAGTCTACGATACAGAAAGGGTAGCTCCGGTCTGAATGAGACCTTGGACCAGACCTAGTGATATATGATAGACTAGACGACCAACCAAAGCACGCAGAAAAAGTTCTCCTTTATATACGATCAAGTTCAGGAGGAAATGAAACAGTTTTGACGATGAAAACTGAGATCAAGGAAGAACAATATTGGTCTTAATCATGGTGGATTGAAATGCAACGAGTAAAATAAATGCATACAAACATGAACGACTAGCCATTTAGTTTGAATTCCTTAATTAAAAAATCGCCTCTAATGTTTTTTATTATTTTCATTTTGGTCCCAATCCTTAATTAAAAAATGATGCTCGTCTATTTCCTTTAACATAAATTCATAAAAACCAAGTTCCTCAATCGAATGACGTTTGATATAAGGGTGAAAGCCGATATTGTAGTGCACTGTGGTTGAGGAAGAACAGTATTGGCCTTAATCATGGCCGATTGAAATGCAGTAACTAGAAAGAAAGAAAAAACATACAAAGAAGATTGGTTAGACATTATGTTTGAATTCCTTATTCAAACTTGTTTATACGAGATTTATGATGGGTTGATGATCATTAGTCTCCATTTATATTTTATAGAGGGAAAGGAAGATGGGAAAATCTGGTATCCCGTCATGCATGCCACGATGTATACATAGGTCGGGCAAGTGTGTAATTTAATTAAAATTATATTAATTTATAATTTTTGAAGGTATTTAACTAAAATACTTAATTAATATTATGTTTATAGATTGTTCAAAGTTCGAAACATATAAGTACATATATAGTGCATGCTTCTTTCTAAATTCTAATAGCATGCAGGTTTATTTCCAAACTAGAAGGTAAATTAACTAATTAAGGGGCAGATAGGTTTATTTCTAATAGCATGCACTGTTGAGTTACTCCTGTCGTTGAGTCGTGATCGCATAACACCATATATGATGCAGCCTCGTAGAGAGTGATTCCAGCCGCCAACTAAATAAAGAGAATATTACAAAGAGTAACGGTGATTTGAGAATTGAGATTAGATTCAGAAAATGAAGGGAAAGGAGTTACCTTTCGTTCAGGGTTGCAGACAATCGAAGGCATAGTTCCAGCGTAATATTGTTTTAAAAGATAGGAAAAATAAACAGCTGCAAACAGAAAGCTGTTTGTATTGGCGTAAAAATTGAATGGAGGATCCAAAGTGACATTTAAAACGTCGAAAAATCCGGAAAAAACTTATGCGCTTAAATTCAACTGTGGCATTGGAAGTGGAGTCTTTAGTGATGTGATGTTTGCTATATACCCTGCAAAATATCAAAACTTAATCTACCCCAAATTACGCATCACTGCATGCTTTTCTCATTCAACCAATACCATACTTTTCATCTAAATCGAAACAACCATTGAAACAACACGTTTTAAATTCAACTGTGGCATTGGAAGTGGAGTCTTTAGTGATGTGATGTTTGCTATATACCCTGCAAAATATCAAAACTTAATCTACCCCAAATTACGCATCACTGCATGCTTTTCTCATTCAACCAATACCATACTTTTCATCTAAATCGAAACAACCATTGAAACAACACCGTTTCACCCCTTTTTTATTACTGAAAATTAGCATTTATAAGCAATAAATTAAAGAGTTAGAAGAGGGAAAATAGGATATAGTTTACAAAAGGAAAGGAGAAAAACGGATAAATAGACTAGAGATGTAGTATCCACGTACAAGCAATTTACCAACCAATAAATGTAAACCCAACTTTAAGTTGTTAAGCAATTAATGTTAATTTTGCCCCCAATTTGCATGTGGTGTACGTCATCGCGTCCATGAATGGGTTCTCCTCACTATAAAAGGAGAACCCCCGGATGAGTTTCATCAAGGAATTTAAACAAAATGGCTACTCGATCATGCTTATGTGTAAAACTTGGGCTCCTACAGTGGTGGAATCAATGGAAGCAAATGAGCGATTGGCAACATCAATGGTTGTTCATAATTTCGACCGAGTTGGTCATACTTTTGTCGTGTCGTGCATACGCCGTAATGTCGGAGAAGAAGACCAAACATTTAGAGTTGATTTACGACAGAAATGGTGTGATTGTGGTCGTTTTCAGGCATGGAAATATCCATGTGCTCATGCAGTCGCTGCATGTATGTATGCTGGTGTAAGCGTATACACTTATGTTGATGAATGCTTTCACCTACGTAGGATATTAAATGTCTACAGCTATGCGTTCAGACAGATCCCGAATGAATCATATTGGCCCAGAAAAGATCATGACGAATGGCTGCCAAATCCAATGCTTCGCAGAAGTCCAAAGGGTTGACCTGGGTCCACTCGTATTCATACCAGTATGGATTTCCATGCTAGAGATCATTAGTAATGATATATGTATTTCTATGAATTTCTATGTATTTCTAAGATTTAGTAATGATTAGTAATAATGAAATTATTATTAATATTTAATGATTTAATAGTAATGATTTAGTAATGATTAGTAATAATGAAATTATTATTAATATTTAATGATTTGATATTAATGATTTAATAATGATTAGTAATAATGAAATTATTATTACTTTTTAATGATTTGATAATAATGATTAGTAATGATTAGTAATAATAATTTATTATTAATATTTAATGATTTGATATTAATGATTTAGTAATGATTTGATAGTAATGATTTACGACTTGAACAATGAATAATGTTGGTTAATTAACCATATTTCGTTACATAAAAATTATAATAATGATTTAGTAATGATTAGTAATAATGAAATTATTATTAATATTTAATGATTTGATATTAATAATTTAGTAATGATTAGTAATAATGAAATTATTATTCATATTTAATGATTTGATAGTAATGATTAGTAATAATGAAATATTATTATATTTAAGGATTTGATTAATGATTTAGTAATTAGTAATAATGAAATTATTATTAATTTTTAATGATTTAATAATTATAATTAGTAATGATTGGTAATAATAATTTATTATTAATATTTAATGATTTAATATTAATGATTTAGTAATAATTTGATAGTAATGATATACGACTTGAACAATGAACAATTTTTGGTTCAATTAACCATATTTTCGTTTCATAACTAGTAATGAAATTATAATAATGATTTAGTAATGATTAGCAATAATGAAATTATTATTAATATTTAATAATTTGATATTAATGATTTAGTAATGATTAGTAATAATGAAATTATTATTAATATTTAATGATTTGATAATAATGATTAGTAATGAAATTATTATTAATATTTAATGATTTGATATTAATGATTTAATAATGATTAGTAATAATGAAATTATTATTAATTTTTAATGATTTGATAGTAATGTTTAATAATGATTAGTAATAATAATTTATTATTAAATAATGATTTGTTATTAAATAATTTTCGTTACATAACAGTAATGTCGAATGATTGATCATTATAAATATGTCGAATTTGTTAAGGTTTGAAAAAACTAGTCTAATTTCAATATTAAATTTGTAACAAATAACAAACTAGTTTACAATTGTTGCCGATGTCGGGGTGTTGTTGAATGATAATGTTGGGGCGGACGTCTGATGCGTTGTGGCCGTTGCGGTTGCTCAGGAGTATGATACCCATCCTCCTCATTCATTGGGGGCATTTGAACTGACATGTGTTCAAAGTCATACGTCGACGAAAACATGTGAGAGTAGATGGATGCATCAGGCTGCACAAACTCTGGTATGTATGCATCGCCGAATGGTTGTGGTGCGCTATTATCCACATCGGTCATTTTCGCTTCAGGTTGTTGAGATGAACTCCCACTCCCACTTGGTAGAGAGTATTCAGCTTTACCAAATCTTTTCTTAAACCTAAAAAATTGTCGCCTCTCTATAATTGTTGTCAAGAATGACTTTCCATTATCCAAAAAATAAGCAAGGTAAGCCGAAGTCTCAAAATTAAAGTCATCGTCTTGAATGTCGTCAAGAGTTGGCATGAATGAAGCCCTATTGTTCCAAGCATTAATGTATGTTGCATGCTTTTCAACCCAATTAACATTTTCTTTACTACGACCATCAAATCTATGCAGCTGGTCATGCGTCTCAACCCAATTCACCTGACGACGACTATCTAAGATTTGGAGGAGGTCATGATCCCATGGACTCCGCGGAATAGGTTGGTGGAAGTGGAATTGCCTCAACACTCTATCCCCAAATTGGATCTCAACAAAAGCAAAATTGATCAATGGTGTAATAGCACACCAATATTGAAACCCATCTAAAATATCGTGCGGTATCAACGCAAGTATTTCTTCATTCATGTATGGTTTCCAATTAAACTGTAAAATTATAAAAACAATAAAATTTATTTAAATCAAATAATATAGTTAATTTAAATAATAATTAAAAATAACAGATTATACATACCTCCTTTTTTGCCTTAATGTCGATCTTCAGCCTGAACTCTTTAATGTTGTTGTGCACCAACCCCGTGCCTTCAATTTTATGCCTCCATCTATATATCAATCAAAACAAAAATATGGTCATTTTTATTTTATAATTAATATTTTATATTAAAATAGAGAATTCATATTACCTTCTGGCAAGCAGAAAGTCAACCGCAGTCCGACTAATCGGTGTTAGAAACGGAAGTCTATGCCAAGCCCATGACTGTAGCAGCAACAGACACCACCGATTTCTGCTGTATTATTGTCATTCACGACTAATGACGCCTTGCACATCTCACGATACAAGAACGCCAATATCGCCGATCCCCAGCTATATTGCCTATTATTCTCAAAATTTCTTAAAAAAGAAGATACTGAGTGTGAACATAACTACCGGATTTATCCGGCATTAAAATACCCCCAATCAACTGTAATATATATGCTCGTGTTGCATATATAATTTCGTGCTCCGTACTATTTGGTTGAAGCTAAATTCATTCTTCAACCATGACAACCTCACACGCCACCCTTTACACTCTGGTGGTACGGGCGTTTTCCTAAGAAACAAGCTACAAAGTTGTGCAACGTTATTAAACTCATGTGACATTACCACTGACATCTCATTTGTTTGGACCCCGAGTTGCAATGCCACATCCTCCAGAGTTATGTACATTCTCCACACGGCAAATGAAACGTGTGCGTTTCTGGTCTCCAACTCTCAATCAAGGCACTGATCAAACAGGTGACCAACTTGTAATCTCGCACAAATGTTACATACCAAAATCCAGCCTCCTGCAAGTTTTCTTCTATCAATCTGTGTGGCTTGGGCACTTTATGTAGCCGAAGACGAAGGACTCGCTGCTCGTCCTCCTGCAATTAAATATTTCAAAAAATTTATCACAATCATAAAATAATATTCAAATATTTATTAATTATAATTCATTAAACAAATATTTTATTCACCATTATTCCCAAATGACTTGAAATATGTTCATTGTCAAGCCTCAACAGTGGAATTTGGTCAGCCATTGGAATGAATCTGTAAAAAAAATTAAACAACAATATTTAAAAAACCATTTAATATAATCTAATATAAACTAACTAACTAATTTACAACACTAAACTTTAATATAATAACTTATAATATAATAAACTAACAAACTAACAAACTAAACTTTTTAAAATATAAGTTAAACGTAAACGCTAAACCCTTAAACAACTAATAAAATATTCTTTTATATAACTAAAACTAATAAATTATTTTTTCATTATAATATACTACTAATAAACTTACTAACTAATTTTTTATATAATATAAATTCAACAAACAAATATAACTTAACTATTTAACTACCACAAACTAATTAAATAATTTTTTTTATATAAGTAACGATTAACAAAACAAACTAATTAATTATTTTTTAACTATATAACTATCAAACATACTAATTAAATAATTTTTTATTTATGTATAATATAACTTAAACTAACAATCATATAACCCTAAACTAACAAACTAATTAACTGATTTTTGTTTTACCATAAACCCTAAACTAACAAACTAAACATTTATAATAATAAACTAATTTAAATAAAAAAATTAACTCACAAGAGCCTTATCTCCATTTCTTCTTCTTCCTTTCCTTTCTCCCTTTCTTTCTTTCTCGGCTGTAGTTTCTTCTCCCTTTCTTCTGCTGCAATCTCTTCTCCCTTTCTTCAGCTGCAATCTCTTCTCCCCTTTCTTTCTTTTATGTTCTCACGATAATGCACACCCCATATATAATTTAGGTGTCACCGGCTGCCTCAATTATTTCACCAATAATTGTGCAATTGCAACTATGATAGCAGCTGATTTCACGCTGCAATGGTTCAATAATTGCACCAATAATTCACGGCTCAAATGGTTCACATGCATGCATCAATAGTTGCTCCATGAAGCAGGTGATTTCACGCTGCAATTGCAGCTATGATAGCTGCATGCATGCAGCGGGAGCAGGAGGGGAGCACGTGAAGGAATCTCAGCTTGGTTGCCGAGACTGCTTGGCGACCTACAAGGTCGCTGAGAGTGCATGGCGACCTGTGTTGGGGTGTTGGGGACGTGCATGGCACATGCAGACGTCCAGGGAAGCCGGCGACGTAGTAGGTCGCCCGGAAGGCATGGCGACCTACGGCCACACTGTGGATTTTACCCTATTTCAGCAAATAATATGGGTAGTGCATTATCTCGTGAATTATTTATTTTGAAAGCATTATATCGTGAGTTTAGCCTAGAATCAACGATATAGCACCGGATCTAATCAATGGTCCAGCTCCAATCGGAGTCACCTCTGCCAACGTCGATATCCGCACCAGAAGGTTTATAGATGAATCTGGTTTAGCTAGTCTCGGACATATCAGGTTCATATTTTCCATGGTACATATGGGATTTTAAGATATGCAGTTAATATGTTGTAAAAAGTTCTGATATTTTGCAGGGCTATAGCAAACATCACTTCACTACAGACTCCACTTACGATGCCACAGTTGGATATAAGAGCACAAGTTTTTGCCAAATTCATCGACGTTTTGAATGTCACTTTGGATCCTCCATTCAATATTTACCCCAACACAGACAGCTTTCTGTCTGCAGCTGCTTATACTTCTTATCTTTTAAAACAATATTACGCTGGTATTATGCCTTCGATTCTCGGCAACCGTGAGCAAGAGATAACTGCTTTTTCTCTCTTCCTTTCCTCTTTCGAATAATCTAATCTCAAATCACCGTTACTCTTGGTAATTTTCTTGCATCATATGGTGTTATCCGATCACTACTCAACGATAGTGAAAACAGAACAGTGACGCCTTATACATTCACAGTGGGGAATGTTACAACCTTACTTACTGCACAAATTATTAACCAACTGGGTGGCTGCGGCGTGAAAGATGAAGGTTTGACTGTGCCACTTCCACTCGGAGCTGAGACTCGAACTACCAATAACGTCATACCGGCGGATGTCAACACACTTTCATATAAACGGACTGCACTGGAAATCTTGAGGATCGTGTTTATAACTGGCAACGCCACCAGAGCCGGTGGATTTTTTCCGAATGGTTTCGTGGGGACGCTTTATCAACGGATTGTTGCCCTAAACCAAAGCCAAGAGCTTTGAAGCATTGGGGATCACAACATCCAATGAATGCCAGCTTTTATAATAAGTACCTGCCTCGTCATGCATAGACGAAAAATAAAATGAAGAGACTTATAGTTAAGTCACCTTCTAGTTTGGAAATAACCATGCATGAAAAACACATGCACAAAATATGTTGTTATATGAAGTTACTTCGAGCAATCAATAGACACAATTTCAGGGATGGAGTTAAAACTCTAGTTCAATGATAAAATATAACTAGATATAAAATATAATAAAAGATGACAATTATTGCAAAAATAATTTCTAAATACAAGCACATCTACTGTAATAAAAATGAAAAATACGTTTGAAAAAAAATACAAGTACATCTACTGTAATAAACTATACGATGGATACCAGCAGGGAAAACTCTGCCGCGTATGGCGGCGTTGCGGGTTCCGAAAAGGATTCTCAGAGTCTCTGGTTCGGTACGTGAGACTGCCAGGGAGTTGACATCCGCTGGCACGACATTAACGGTAGTTCGATTCTCCGCTCCGAGTTGGAGCGGCACAACCAGGCCTTCCTCTTTCACACCGCACCTCCCACGTAGGTTAACCCCCTCTGCAATAATGTCGGTGAGATTCCTCACCGTTAATGTATAAGGCGGCATCGTCGCGTTGAAGTTGGCGTAGAGTCTGGCTCGGATAACTCCCAATTCCGCCGCGTTGGTACGTGTGATTTCAGACAGCAACTAAACGAAGAAAAACGAAGGCAGTGATTTTGAGAATCGGATTCAAAAGAAGAAAGGATGGGAGAGAAGAGTAGTTACCTGCTGTTCAGCGTTGTCGACAATGGCAGGGGCAATTGCACCTTATCCTTCATATTGTACCAAAAGACTAGTAATAAGGCCCGCTAAGAGCAGATATCCGATACTGTTATTGTAAACATTGAACCAAACCCGTTAAACCCAAAACGATGGCCAAAGCTTCCGCCCTCAGATCCATCAGTGGCCTTAGGAGCGGCGGATTTAGTATTGTGACGTTTACGATGGCAGATAGAGCTATACAACATATAAGAGACTTCATCCCTTTTCATTTTTGCTTAATTTAATTAAGTTCTGCAATATTATAGGATTTGAAAATTTGGTTTCATTTTGATAATTTTGGACTAATAACTTCTAATTTGTTTCAATTTAAGCCTATTCTTATTGATATAGTTTATGATCGAGCCTAATAAGTTTAGTTTCAGACAATTAGATCCATAATTCATCAAATTAGTTAAAATTGGGGCCAGGTAAGTTAAGCATCTTTCAATTAAGTCTTAAATTGGTTAATAAGAATGACGTTAATATCTTAATTGATTCAAATTTGGACCTTATTATGAAATGGATTAATAAATTTAGCTTCAGTTTATTAATTGTCTTCAATTTGGTCCTAATCTAAGATTTGTAATAATATTCTAAATCTTGAACCTCTAATAATTTTCAATTTAACTTTAGGCATGTATTATTATTCATTTATTCATCTTATTTTACTAACTCCGTCCTCGTAGTCATTCTTTTAATGAGAAAACACAACTTCTTTTAGGGTATGAATTATAGACGCGGTGGGATGCTTTAACTTCATTTCATTTTTGGTCTGCGAGGCAGACAGTTATGACAAAAGCTAGCATGCATTGGATGTTGAGAATGATACCCCACGCTTCAAAGTTCTTAGCTTTGTTTTAGGGCAACAATCCGTTTATAAAGCGTCCCCACGAAACCATTCGGAAAAATTCCACCGGCTTTTGTGGCGTTGCCAGTTATAAACACGATCCTCAAGATCTCCAGTGCAGTCTGTTTATATGAAAGTGAGTTGACATCCGCCGGTATGACGTTATTGGTAGTTCGATTCTCAGCTCCGAGTGCAAGTGGCACAGTCAAACCTTCATCTTTCACGCCGCAGCCCCCTAGTTGGTTACCAATTTGTGCAGTAAGGTTGGTAACATTCCCCACTGTGAATGTATAAAGCGGCACTGCTAAATTTTCCCTGTCGTTGAGTAGTGATCGGATAACACCATATGACGCAGCCTCGTAGAGCGCGATTTCAGTCGCCAACTAAATAAGAGAAAATTACCAAGTCAGTGGAAAAATATATATTAAGTAATTCATTTAATATTCTTAGACTATCATAGATTTAATAAAATAAAAGTATTATATATAAGTTGGACTCGATTCTTATGTGGGTGAGTCCATCACTTGGCTATTACAAGTATAATAATAATATATGTATCTCATAGACAGTTTTTATAATTTTCTTAAAGAATATTAGGTTTAATTCCTTTAAAATATATCAACTTTTCCAATAGAAAGTAGGTACCTCTTGTTCAGGGTTGCCGACAATCGAAGGTATAATTCCAGCGTAATATTGTTTTAAAAAATAAGAAGCATAAGCAGCTGCAAACAGAAAGCTGTTTGTGTTGGCGTAAGTATTGAATGGAGGATTCTGAGTTACATTTATAACGTCGAAAAATTTGGCAAAAACTTGTGGTCTTATATCCAACTGTGGCATTGGAAGTGGAGTCCTCAGTGATTCAATGTCTGCGATAGCCCTGCAAAATATAAAAACTATTTATAAACTTTTTAAACAATAATTAACTGCATGTCTTAAAATCCCATATTATGGAAAATATGAAACGATATGCAAGCAGGACCTTATATGTCCGACGCTAGCTAAACCAGACTCCTCTATAAACCTTCTGGGGAGGTTACCGAGATTGGCAAGGGTAACTCCAATGGGAGCGGGACCTTCGACCAGATCTGGTGATATATCGTTGATTTTACGACCAACTGAAGAACCCAGAAAAAGTACTGCTTTATAAATGTGCAAGTTCAAAGCGTATTGGAACATTTCTCTGGTAGAAGCCAATACTGGGCTGCAGCGAGGTGAAGGAAGAACAGTGTTGGCGTTCATCATGGTGGATTGAAATGCAACGAGTAAGAGAGTAAAAATACATAAGCATGATCGAGTAGCCATTTTTGTTTAAATTCTTTGATGAAACCTACTTGTAAGTGATTTGGGATGGCTACTCCTTTTATAGTGGGGTGAATGAATCTGGTATCCCTTCATGCTTGCCATGCAACTTGACGTCGTACAGCACATGCAAGTTGGGTTAACATTAATTGCTTAAAACTTTTAAGTTAGGTTTACTTTTATTAGTTAATAAATTACATGTACGTCAGACTAGATCTCTAGTTTATTTATTCCTTCTTCTTCTTTCCTTTTTTAAATTATATTGTTTTTTTAATTAATTTATTTGTTTGTAAATGATAATCTTCAGTTCATATAGTAATAAAAATGAAGGATATTATATCAAAAATTACATCTCATATTGATCGAGTTTAGTTCGATTAAAATGATTATTAATTCGTCATACGAGAGAGGTAACGAGTCGAGTTACTTCAAATATTTTATATAATAAATTTTAATTATATTTTATTCGTAATATCAATTAATAAAAATCATAGTATTAACGTACAAATTTTTTAAAACAAATAATTTGAAATAGTTTTGATTAAGAGCTGATTGTCAACTCTGCTATTTGTACACAATAAGTCCACCATTAAACTTGGAAGAGAATTAGGTCCAAGAAATTAAATGTTTCCAAACCTTAAGGTTAAACTAAAATGAATAATAAAGCTGTCATCCCTCGTTACACGGCAAAAGCTCAGTTAGAATCATTGAACAAACATATTCACAGCTTGTATCAAGTATGGATTAGTAATTAATCGACATTAAAAACATCATATTAATCGTGGCGTTCCTAATTAAGTGCTACTACTTTTCTATGGAAAAAAATGTCTTATTTATATTTTTTTTGACAAAATCTTATTAATATTTAAAGATTAAAAATATTGGTGGTATATTTATATTTCTTTTCTTTCTGCCATCCAACTTTATCAGATTTTAATTTGTTTTTAAATTGCAGTAACTTTTAATTTTTATTTCATTTTTTCAATAATAAATTTTAGTTGAGTGATCAAGAATTCATACATATATTCTATTAAACACGGATTTAATTATTAAAAATATATATTTTAAGTGGAAAAAAAGGTTCAATTAACTTATAACATCAAATTTAATTGGTATAGATGATATATAATGCCTCTAATAAAACTATTATTACTTTAGTCCACGTGTAATTTCGAATTACATACTAATCATATTTTATAATTACATTTAGACCATATTTAATTTTTCAATTTATCAAACATAGAGAGACAGGCGGCATAGGTGGACGTATTTAAACAGGCACCAGAAAAATCCCAAACCATAAAGCAGCCCCGTGAAGTTCTTGAAATTGATTTCTTCTACTTCAAAACAAAAGTTCTTTCCTTTTCACCATTTGAAGTTAGAGATGCAACTCAGAGGCTAAACTTAAGGAAGTTTTATTATGAAGTAAACAATTGATGACATGAGATACCTCATTTCTCGATCACACGCTTCGCACCATCTAAAGTATTCCGGAGCAGCATTGCGACTGTCATTGGGCCAACGCCACCAGGAACAGGTGTTATCCATCCGGCAACCTTTGACGCTTCTTCGAAATCCACATCTCCCACTAACCTGTACCCGGACTTCTTCCTTGGGTCATCAACGGCATTGGTTCCAACATCGATAACTGCAGCACCGGGTTTGATCCAACTGCCTTTGACCTGGAAGTAAATCAGAATACTTAAGAGATGGACAGATCATTACGGAACAACCAAAGCAAACAATTGTTTGATTCAACAGCAAAGCAAACAATTAAGGTTCCCTTTCATTCACAGTTTTAGAGAAGGTTTTAACATGGATATTTGATGTCTTGCAGTGCTTCGAGTGAAGTGTTTTCTTGTGTTTAATAATCATGTCATATTGTAAAAGGACCAACACTATAATCGCCAAAATTACATAAAAACTAAATCTGAAAACTAAAATCCGAAGGGAGAAGTGAAGCAAGGATGAATTAATGACCATGCTAGGCTAGAACAGAAGGCTTTAAAATGTTTCTATAACTAAAATCAAAATACTCGGTTACCATCCTAGCTTGTCCTGCTGCAGCAATAACAATGTCAGCTTCACGAACAAGCCTTTCGGGATCCGGGGTACGTGAATGAACAATGCTAACAGTTGCATCAGCCTTGAGCAGCAACAAAGAAACGGGCAATCCAACAATGTTACTTCGACCCACCACAACAGCATTTTTTCCCTTTATGCTTACACCACTCCGAGATAGCAGCTCAAGGCACCCCTGTAGGAAATAGGGAAAACTGTCAAAAACACAACATAGCAAAAGAACAAGGGTACATCATCATTACAACATTCAAAAGCGTCGTAAGATTGCCTTGGGTGTACAAGGCTGAAAAAGGGGTTCTCGGCCTTTCATCGCAAGTTTGCCGATATTCATAGGGTGAAAACCATCTACATCCTTCTCAAGGCTGATTTCACCCAAAACTTTCTCTTCATTTATATGCTTTGGCAAGGGAAGCTGAACCAATATGCCTATTAATTCAACAAAAAGTACATAATTAAAAACAAATATAGAAAGGAAACCTCCATATAAGCAAATGAGCTGCAAATTGCAATAAAGCTAAGTTTTTAAATTCCCCACCAATCAACAAATAATCTCTTAGTTTTGTAATATTGATTACTGCAACATTAACGAACCGTGTACATCAGGATTTGCATTTAGCTCGTGAACTTTGCTGATTAATTCGGATTCGGGTATTTCCTCGGGGAGATTAACATCAAAAGATTTAATCCCAACTTCAGCACAGGCTTTTCTCTTCATTATCACATAGCTTTGAGAATCTTTCCTATTCCCAACAATTACCACGGCCAGGCCTGGCACCTAATTTGAATAGTATTAAACCTTTTCGATTTAGCTATAATTGAAATGAAATTTACGAAATCAAAATCGATGACGACTAGCTTTTAGAGAAAAGAGGGGAAAGGAAAATAAGGGAGATGGTATTCGTTACCTTGCCGTATTTCTGGGAAAGATGACGGGTCTCGTCGGCGATTTCAGATCTGATTGTCTGAGCGATGGCTTTGCCGTCGATAATGGTGGCTTTATGATCAGATTGCGACGCCATTTTGGGATGGAATATGAGCGGGATAAGATTTGCATCAAGGACTTGTGAAAGACTTCAATAAAATAAACTCGTCGCTACCACTTTGGTCGAGGCACGCAGCTACTGACACGTGGCACTTCGGATTTTGTCTCTTGTCTTGTGCAGGATGTAGATCAGGATGACCCGCCCTTTAATTTTTTTTATTTATTTTTTACATTGCAATTATATACTTAGAATCAATAGGGAGAACAAATGTAATTAGATAAAATTTATTTTTTACAAATTAAGATTTAATAATTAATTAAAATACAATTCAAAAAAAAAAATCATTGAAAATATTTTAAAAAATAAAAATTTTAGAAACTTAAGGAATCAAATGGAAATTTTTAAAAATTTAGGATTCTATCAATATTTGTTAGCTAAAATGTGAAAGTTTTCAGTATAGCATGTAATTTTGAATAAATATAATTAAAATATTATATCTGTAAATTGCATAGCCTGAGATTAGGGATTGAAAAAAAAATTGAACCCGTTGGGGAAAATCGAATTAAACGAGTCGGGTTCGAGGATGATAAACGGGAACAGAGATAGGGAAAAATTAAATTTTTTAAATAGGGACGAGTTTGGTAATCCCCACCCCGATTATCCGAATATCCGACTCGATACCCGGTCCAATAAATATTAAAAATAATTATTATATATATATATATAATATTAATAAATTTAATTTAAATTAAAAAATATAAAAATGAGATTAGGATTTAAGAGAACACATCTTGACCTACTCGTCATTTTTCATGCGGCTGCTCTCAAGTCTTGCTTCGCCGATCTTCACATTCCATGCTCTGTTGTTGGTGACTTCACTTCGCCGGCCGATCTTCCTTTAAATAACCGTTTATGTTAAACGGGGATACTCGTTTTCTCGCGTTTTTTTTCGATTACTCGATGGAGATCCCCGTTTAAATTCCCGCGATTTTTTAAGCGTAGACGGGTATAAATTTTTTAAACTGGAACGGAGACAAGGGGACCAATCCCTGACCCGAAACCGCCCCGTTGCCATCCCTACCTGAGATCAAGCTCTCTAATAATATGGGCATTTCCTGGATTATCCGTAGTAGTCCAACGATCAAATGGACACTCTTAGGCGTTCAAAGAATCAAAACAATAGATATACATATCAGTTAGGTTAAAATCGAATTAAACAATTCGATTATTGAAATCTATTTGATCAAAAAATGATTTATTTAAAAAAAATCAATTATCAATTAATTAATCGAATTATTCAAAAAATATATATTGTGTAATTATTCCCAACAACAATATGGTATGTCTTAAATTTATGATTTTTTTGAAAAAAATAGTATGGGTTATTATAAGATCGTATATATTCAAAATATTTATTAGTCATTTACAATACACATGCTATGTAGAAACAGTTTTTCGAATCCAAAATTTATAAGAAAATATATAATCTATTACATGATAAAATGCACCCATTTTCTATTTTTAGTACCTAATTATTTACTGCAATAACTATGAGGAACTTTGATTTCTTAAATCTTAGGTATATAGGGAATCAAGCAAGCTGAGTTTTCTCGAAGTGATGTAATTGGAGAAGAGACAAATAAAGGTGGGTACTTGTCTAGATTTTATAAATCATTGTCTAGCAAGAGGGTCCCAAAAAATACCAGCACCATGTTATCATTTCATCTTTGACAATAGTAGATCAAGTACTAATCCTTTTCTTTATTGATTAAATGCATTGGAAACCAAGTTATCATCTTATGATTCAAACATGTTTTTTTTTTCGAGGGCTTCGATTGCTAAATCTGCTGAAGTTTAGGTTATAATCTATTTGAACTTACAAAATGTTCAGGGGCAAAACTTTCGAGATAATGTTCTCGAATTTTTTATTTAACGATATAACGTACTCCCAAGATTAATTGCTCAAATAGGGTGAAATTCATAGTGTTGGCCGTAGGTCGCCATGCCTTCTGGACGACCTTTCAGGCATCCGATGCCATCCGACCGAGGCCATCCGAACGAGCTATGCGAGGGCATCCAAGGGCAACCGAGCGAGCTTTGCGAGGGAATCCGAGGGCAACCGAGCGAGGGTAGGTCGCCCGGAGTGCATGGCGACCTACAAGGTCGCCCGGGGTGCATGGCGACCTACATCGCTCGGTAGCCCGGATTCCCTCGCATAGCTCGCTCGGTTGCCCTCGGATGCCCTCACATAGCTCGTTCGGTTGGCCTCGGATGCTCTCGGATGCTTTCGGATGGCCTCGGTCGAATAAACAAGAAACATGTATGACTAAATTATAATTAAACATAAATACTAAACCGTGGCTAAAATAACATGTTTACAAATTTCATGGCCAATTTCGAAAATTAAGGAAAATATATAAAACACATGAAATCAGTGATTAAAATGAAATAACTAAAAATATTATGATCAAAATGAAGCATACACAAACTTGACAAAATAAACAACTAGTGACTAAAATATAATTATTAAATTATACATGCCTGAAACAAAACATTAAAAATGTCACTAAATGATTAAACAAATAGATTACAAAGCATAGGGGACCGAAAATGCTATTATCTCCTAAATATTAAAACACACGTATGAGAGTGTAAAGTTGTGAGGACCAAATTTGCATTTAACCCAAACAATTATTGTTTGATTGTTTCTCCCATGGATCACCTGGCGACCTTCATTGGTCGCCCAGAACACCCGGCGACCTTCATTCGAACTGTAGCAAACACCCTATCTCAACAATTAATTGTTGGAATGCGTTATCTCGTGAATTTTTTTTTCTCACAACATTATCTCGTAAATTCAGCCAATGTTCAGGATTAATTATTAGCTAGACTCGATCGAGTAGGTATCTTTAAAAAGCAAATAATAAAAGTTTACTAATATTCCACAATGGACTTGCATGTTCTTTATTTCGGGAGAAGTGGGAACCTACTAAAGTCCCTTAGTGTTGAAAGCAAAAGACATTCATTACAGTACAAAAATGTTTTAGCCAAAAGAGCATACAGAAAATAGATATCTTCAAGCATTTCTTCATATGTGGGAAAATGAGACCAAACATTAACAAAATTCTTAATTTATAAAGTAAGAAAAAGGAGGGGAAGTGAGAGATATTTAGGCCCTACAATACCCCTTAAATAGTGCTTAATAACGAAACCCTAAAAAAAAGATATGACAGACAACGTACGTAAAGACAACCTAATAACTATAACACCCTTCAAACCCCAATAAAAGGTAAAGACAGCTTTGTTGTTTCACATGATTGAGCAGCCACTTTCATCATCATCGTAGTGGTAGTAGTAATAATCTTCACTGAATTTATCGTTCGGATCACACGGTGGAGCCGTTGGCACGTAATGCATGGTAGGGGCTGCATAATATGAAGAGGTTGAGCTAGGGCAAGTGGTGTGATAATTACTTACCCCACAAAATGGAGAGCCGTAGAGCAAAGGTGTCTGAGGGTACATTGGATGATTCGGATCGATTGATGCATCGGGTCGGGCGTGGTCGCCACTGGGTGGTGTATCGGTCTTGGGACCAGGGTTGCCTTTTTGGCCTTTCTTTTTCTTCTTTTTATTACCTACATTAGTACTTTGGGAGGGGTCGGATTCCTCGCTTTTGCCTCCCATTTGGTCCCCTGCTGGATGCTGTTTATCTCTGGCAGAGCCTTTAGCAGCAGCGGCACCGCCGTTTTTGGAAGCGGCTGGTTTGGTCTTCTCACCTGAATTATTATTCTTTGGGTCATGGTTATCATCACCACCGGCTTCTGCTCCACAGTCTTTTTGTTTGTCATTGTTATTAGTTTTGCCGGGCTTTTTGTCATTCTTTTCAGGCTTTAATTCCGGCCAAAGCTCGACGTGTTTTCCCGACTTGGTGAGTCTCTTGATGAGCGTTTCTGCATCCACGCTGCTAGTGACCGTCACCTTGTGGTGTTCAGAATCTATCTTCGTCTCATAAACGCCTGAAGAAACCAAAAAATACATAATATACAGTGAAACAGAATCTCCATTTTCTATCAATTAGAAACAGTAACGCGTAAACACATTTTAGCTAGCAATATGAGCAACACACACGTACGTACCATCAATGGCTTGAAGAACTTTCTTGACTTTCTTCTTGCAGCCTTCACAATGGATGAGGACTTTCAAAACCCATGTCTACAAAATTGTGAAGGAGCCAACAACTTTAGAAACATGAAGTGCACCAGAAATGAGCAAATGAAGAAATATATATATGTCTGACCTTATATTTCAGTGCTCCTCCTACAGCATCTTCATTGGCAGCTTTAGTAGCCATCTCTGAAAGGAGTGTTGAGAGAAGGGGAGGCAACGTCTTTACAGAGGAAAATATTAACTAGATTTTAAGGAGGGGAATTCGGCTAAAAAAGTAGTGTGCAGTGTTAAAATTCTGTGTGATGCTCGAATAACGCACGAGCTTAACGACACCACCGAACACTTTAATTAACAAAACCACACTTTTCATTAATAATTATTTTACGATGTTTTAAATAAGTACTTTTTCAAAATAATAAAACATTTATAATTAATTAAAAAAAATATTCCGACTGAATAATATCAGATTTGATAAACCAATTACCACTGTTTTAACCTTAAGTCATCTTAATCAACACTGGGTAATAATCAGCAACCATTTTGCCTTTGCTCTTGTTTCAGCTGTGATCAAACTCATCGCCTGTCCCTTTTTAGCAGCTGCCCGAAAACATCAAGACCAACAAAGAGGTATAGCAGAAACCTCACATTACAGGGCTGTCTTAGGCGGCAGCTTGTCGGCGAACACTACAGAAATAATGCACAACAAGAATGTTTATTATCATTAAAAGTCGATCATCCAAATCTCAAAGGAAGAAGTCAATAAATCTTATGGCAGCAACAGCCTTGATGTTGTATACGGCCGCACTGAAGGGGACTTGTAGCAGGAGTGGACCACTCATAATAATGCATAAAAATGGATAAAGTCACATTGCTAAAAGTATTAGTATTCAACTTGGCCAAAGGCAGTCAATTATGAAGCATATTAAACCTGGGAACTGGGAAGTATATAACTCAATTAAGGAATTCCACGGATAATAAATTAAAGTAGAGAACAATCAAATCATAAAACACGGCAATAAAATATGTAATGGTCGAGTATGCTTATTCACGTATTAACAAATGAATCAGGATCCATTATGAACCCGGGAAGGGCACACGAGGATATAAGGAACTTACAGAATCATTCCTAGATAGTAATCCACAACCAACGATACACATGCATGAGTTATTACCAACTAAAACATCAGTGCCCCCGGAGATTTAGGGAACCAAGCAAGCTTAAATATTTTTCCACTACCATAAACGGAATCTCTTCAACCTGGTGTGATCCCAGTAAGCCTGCAGTAGCAACAAGAAGGTACCTACTTCAATGATCCTAAAATAATGAAAAGGAAAAAGACACAAATTCCATATCTCCATTATGCCAATCCTAAGAAGCAACTTCCACTTTACATCAGAGGTCTTTGGTCTCAATAAAGATATAGTCAGATTCACATCCAAAGTATTATATGGTTACTCATACAGAAAAAATTTGAAGACATTGAAAGCAACTCTTAGTTTCATGGTATAAAATGCATTCCATCGTACCAAAAGGCACTTCAATATCTAACAATAAGCAATCAAGAATACAATCTTTAAGTAAGAGATACAGTAGAGAATTCTTGTATATAGACTGACAACAAGATTAATTCATCTTATTTGCAGCCATTTAAAACTACAACAACATCACTTCCTTATCAAGAAAAGGCAAGAATCATAACCAATTTTAAACCACAAGATGATGGTGATTGTATTTGTGTTACCTACAAATTACTAAAAGATTTTCTTGACCACAAGAACACCTATTATCACACCAAGAAAAGCTGACAAGGCTCCATCCCTGGAAAGCCAGAATTCAGTCCACGTCAAGGGCCTTTTGACCCGAGACAGTACCTCACTGAACCTTTCCTGCAAATCCTGAAGTGATCCGCTGTTATCTATCACTATATCAGCTCGGTTCTTCTTCAAATCTAGAGACATCTGAGCATTTATCCTATTTCTGGCATCCTCCTCTGTTGAGTTATCTCTTTCCATAAGTCGTCGAAGCTGTGTTTCAGGATCAACCCATACAAGAACGATGGGTTTTGTCCACTTATCCAACTTGGCCTCAAACAACAAAGGAATGTCAAGAACAATCACCTTATGACCTTTTATCCAGAGCTTTAAAATTTCTAAAAAGATGCCAGAAGAAATATAGGGAGCCAATAACCTACAAGAAGAAAATTAACCAAATTTGGGAATCAATATGATCTGCAATAAACAATTTAAATGACGATGATGATACGTAATCAACCATCCGTCCATATTATCTCCGGGTCTAACATTTCTAGCACTTAGCCTAGGTGAAATGAAACGTCAATGTAATAGAATTTGACCTGCACGAGTTAAGGATCAGAAGACAACATAGCTTCCATTTACCGTTAAATTGTTAAAAATAAATCTCCTAGGAGCTCATGATCTTGAATTGCTATGACGTCAGCGCCATACTTGAGAAAATCATGTTATAAGACCATCTTAAAGAAGACAAGAATTTTACACCACAAATGCCATTAAAATCTGCATCGTGAAGGTAAAATCCCAACCTCTAGAACTAGTAAGCAACCAAAATAAATATAATAGAAGAGGAACTTATGGAAAATGTACCGATTGAGGAGTTGACGTTTAGCGGCATCAGAGAATACGATTCGGCCCAATTTCAAACGATCAACATGGCCATCATCTTGTAAAATGTCCGGCCCAAACGCCTCCGCCACCTTTTTGTACCCGCCGGAACCCTTCTTCAAGGCATCCTGCAAAAAAAAAAAAAAACTAGTAGTACCATTTTCTAATTGTAATTCCATCGAACAGTTGATGGGCAAAAGCAAAAAGCAAAACGAGTAGAGAGTACGCGAGCAATGACATCTGCATCGACGACTGGGACATTGTTGTTCTTGAACATGGAAGAGACCGTACTCTTCCCCGATGCAATCCCTCCGGTTAGCCCAACCATCCTCATTTTCACTCTCTGCTTCAGATCACTCGCTTTGACCAACCCCCTGTTTCCTTCACTGCTTACCTTACCTACTTTGTGAAAATTAAAAAACAATTAATAAAGTGGCATGTATATATATATATATATATATGATAAAAGAAGTTGTACTGAATACCTATCATAGGAAAACGAAACCCTACCGTTTGAACCAATTCCACTAACAAGTTTTTATGTCCAGAGTAAACCAATTCATTATCAATGAACTTTTTTTTTTGGAGAGAAAGGAAGAAAAAATATTTAGTAAAATTATATAATAGTAAGAAAATATTTAGTAAAATTATATAATAGTAAAAAAATTCAAAATAGAAAAAAAAACTAAAAATATCAGTGGATTACTTTTGAAGTTTTTCAAATATTATTCTCCTTTGATTTCCAAATTTTAAAATTATTTTAATTTTAAAATAATTTAATAATTTTACAGGTTTAAAATTTAACTTTTTTTATATTTATTTTTAGAATTAGAACTAAATTCTTAAACTTTATATAAACAGAAAGCTAAACTTGTAAATGTCTAGAGAACTGATAAAATCTATAACTTTGCGGTATAATGTTATTAAATAAACTATGATTAAATTGATAAAATTTAAGGTCAATCACATCATATATTATTAAAATTTGATCGTTAATTTATTTTATATCATTAATTTTTTAATTTTATCAATTATAATACTAAATTTCAAACTTGTATTTAATTATATCATTGTAGCTTAAAGCATTAATAAGACGATGACATAATTAACAATTGGTGACATATTTGTCATACTATAACGATATTATATTTATTATATTCTTTCAAAAATATATCATTTTAGTGTGATTGTTACGTCGACAATCATTAGCTATGTCACCATCTTATTACATGTTCAACAATATTGTGACATAATTGTAATTAAACTGTAATGTTGATGGTTAAGTTTATAAGATTTTTAATTTAGTTATCAAAGTAAAACACATCTATTCTGTTGGAGATACAAAAAATCGGATTTGTAATATTTTATTATAAATCTATTTATTATATAATAATATAAATTTTAATTATATTTTAAAAATAAACCGACTTTAACCTTTGAAGTTTGAACTACACTTTTTTATATATATAAAACTTAAATTTTAGAAGAAAAAATATTAAATTCCTTAGCATCTCAACAATTATTGATAAAGATATACTCCTTATTACTTTTTTTTCTTTTCTTAGATATTCATCCACTAAGGTGCAAAAATGTGATATATTAATCGCACTCGTGTAGTACAACACAAATGTAACTATACATTTAATTATCAGGATTATTATCTATTACATTTAATTCAATTAACATCTTTATAAAATAAAATAATGAAAATTACAAATACTAAAATTATTTGGGAAGGAAAGGGCAGTAGTAAATTGAAATATAGATATTATAGATGAGATAGAGCACAAATGTGGCATAAAGAGATAAACAAGAGAAAAAGGCCCTAAAGCATCAAATCAATCAATCTTTCACATGGAAGATTGAAGAATACGCTACACTGAAACCAAAATGCAACATATTACAACGCTGCCATTATTCATTAAACACATTACTAATATAGCATAGGTAAATGCCAAAAGTTTTTCTACTGCTTTTGCATCGCGAGGACCTTGGACCACGCCGGCCTAGCGGTGATCTCCTTTACCCAAGCGTTAACATGTGGCCGCGATTCCAGCAGCTTCTTCGCCGACGTGGCCAACAAACATTGAATGTTGGGGAGATGATACAGATCGGCCAAGGTGAAGTAATCGGAAGCCAAGTACCTTGACTGACTCAACCGAGTCTCGTACACATCAAGAACTTTCCCCAGCTTAGTCTCGTTTTCCTCCACTTTAGCGGCGTCGGTAGCCGTTCCGAAAAATGGCTTGTAAAACAGTTCCCAGGCCAACGTTGAAGATGGAGAATTGAACTGCTGGGCTTCCACTTCCTGCCACAATGTTAAGACTGCTGCTTCCTTGTTGGAGCCAGGGATCAACAGTTGGGTCCCTTTGTCGGCGTATTCATGGGCGACGTAGTGGGTGATTGCTCTTGATTCTGCATTTCAAACGATGGTTTTAGCTATAAACGGTAGTGAAATTGAAAACTAAATCTGGGTTTGGGTCATGAAACTGTACCGAAGAGCTTCAAATCCCCGTCTTCAAAAGCTGGAACTTGACCGAACGGCTGTGTGAATGATGGGAAAAATTAGTTTCTGGGAAAGAATGGATGAAAAGATTAAAAAGATCTGTGATACTTACGTTGAGGGCAAGGAAGTTGTCGGATTTATGTTCACCGGCTGCCATGTTTATAGAAACAAACTGAAAATCAACTCCTTTCTCGTAAAGGCATGCAAGCACCCTCTGAGTAGCTGTGGACAAAGGGCTTCCATGGACTTTGATGGCTGCCATTGTTTTTGGTGAAGACGACGACTCTAACTTGTTCAAGTATTCAGTATTGTTTGTGGGTTTTTGAGGAGAGAATGCTATATGCGTTAAATATATAAAACGGGGAAGGAGGAGGCATCTTTCCGTCATTCTCGAACGTTCCAATATAATTAAATCAAAAAAGTAAATTATCTCCTTTAAAAAATTGGATTCTTATTCCATTTCAGATTTGAATAAATTAAATATCATTTTAAGAAATAAATTATTAAAATATGTTTTATATTTATAAAAATTGAACATAAATTTAAATTTTAAATTTATTGATATTTTTATAATCTCATAATTAAATTAAAATTTGATTGTTTGTTAATTTAATTAAACATTAAAATTTTAAACAAAAAACAATATTTTAATAAATAAAATTATAATTTTTCGTAAAATCCGTTAATTTTATTAAAAATATTTTTTTTTAAAACTACAAAGAAAGTTTATGACCACAACCATAAACAAAACACATAATAAATATATTTTCTTATAATAGCACAAGAAATTAGACACTTAAAATCACGTAAATATCATACAAGAAAAATATTTAAAAAAAAAAAACTTAATCAAAGAAACTCAAACAATATATATACGAACATATCTGACAACATCGACAAATGACCTATCAAAAGAGATTAAGGTATTGAAAAACTACCGATAAACTGTAAATCAGGGTTGAGCAAAGTGAAAAAATTATATGTGAATGCAAATCTAGTATCCAAATTCAATCCAATTGTCCGAAACATGGAAGATCAACATGATAACAAATCAACGACATCTTGATTAGTCATAACGATATTAAATCTAACCTAGAGAAAAATAACAAATGAAAATTTATGAATAGACAAAGGAAAACATGTCATAAATGCATATTAAAAAATAAAGAAAACAAAAGACTAGCGACGACTAGGGAAAAATGGCCTAACGATGTTGAGAAAAAAATGGTTGAGTTGTACCGTTGAAATTTTTGGCTTTTATTGCTAGGTAAAGTATACAAATAGTCTTATGATTATAGGTTGTTATGTTATTAAGTATTTTAATTATTAAAAGTTATAAAATGATCTCTTTATTATAGGGTGTTACCTTGTTGAGTCCCTCGACTATTGAAGATTATAACATAGTCACTCGACTATTCATATATTCTAAAGTCATTATTTTATGTTAAAAAATTGATTACCGTCAGAGTTGGACGTTAATATGTTAACTGAGATATAATAAAATAATATTTTAATGATGTCTATCGGCACTGACATTACTTTTGAGTATTGGCTCGACGATTCAAGTACTAACTGAACAACATAATGTAAGACGAAATCTTTCAATTTCTTATTTTACTATGTTCAACTTTATGTATTCCTTTATCCGTAGAGTACATTGAATGTACATAAATGGCTATAGCAGAGTTTCTGTTATTCGTATTAACAGCTATTCTAGGAGGAATGTTTTTATGCGGTGCTATTTTTTCGTTCGGTGCTATAAGAGGGTCCTTTTTTTATTTTCAATAATATTTTTATTAATGTTCCCGTTTCCATTTAAATTTAAAAGAAGTAACTTTATTGGTATGATCCATGGTTTAACCTTATACGCATTATATAGCAGCATAAATTCTGGGAAGAACCAAAGCTCCAGATTCGATGAGACTTGATCCACAAAATATAACTCAAACATTTATGTGATCATATTTTATCATATCTCAGTGAGCAAGTTAATATCCAGCTTAGACGATCGCCAATTTTTTTAACGAAAAATGACGAGTTTATAACATATGAATTATCGAGTGACTATTTTGTAATTTTTAATAGTCGAAAGATTCAACAAAACAACACCTTATAATTAGATTATCATCTTCTAGATTGAGATTGCTCTGGAGGTCTGATCAAAGGGCTGAATATATTCAGACACCAATTTAAAATACGATTCATAATTTATAAAACATAAACAAAACGGAAGTATGGGATATTTACATTCTTGGAAAGGAAAGCTGGCTGTTTATGTTCACCATTTTGGAGATTGACAGGGACGACCTCAAATACTGCACCATACCTTTAAAAAAAACTGCACCATACCTTTAAAAAAACTGCACATGAATTCCTGACATATCTAAACCATCATTATATATATTACAATTTTTATTAGTCAACGTTAGTAGGGGTTGCATGCAATGAATAAAGAATCTGAGAAATTCGAAGTTAAATCAAATACTATTGTTTTTTAATGATTAATAAGGTATAGCACATGCAAAACCAAACCAGCAGAATACAAAGTCAAAGCAACAAAAGCTTCACGCTTACAATGTCACTTCTTATTCTAGTCTTCCAAGCTGAGATGATCACTTATTTAATACGATAAAATCAAAGCAACAAAATCAATATTTGATCAATATTTAATACAAAGTCAAATATTTAATAGATCTTTATTCTATTGATATAAAATAATTTAACAAGATCAATATTTGATCGTAACTCTATCCCTAAATATAAATATTATAAACAAAATAATAACAGTCCATATTACTTTAGTTTATTATACGGAAATAGAGTAGCACATGCAATCAACATACATATCAAAAGAAACAAAAGCTGGTTGACGCTTACATATCGCTTTCTTATAATTAAAACTGTGGTAATCACTTATTCAATAACTTAAGCTTTTCCAAAGCCATGAAAGTTATATAGATTTAGCTAACTCAATGGTTGGGGAGGAATAATCATATAACGCTCGTATGTTGTCAATGTCCTGTCGGGTAAGCTTCCTTTTGATAGTTCCAACCACGAGTATAGGATACATGACTGAAGTTGGATCGTCGGTATGCTGAAGGCCGAGAGTGTGTCCTATTTCATGCAGGGCTCCAGATTGCATGTCCACTTCGACGTCCCCCGCAGGATCAGAACCATTCGTGTGGTCAATATCAAGCAAAAGCATCCCGCCAGGTGGATATATACCCAAACCATAATTCGTGTAGTCTAGTGTAGTGAAGTTAATTTTAATATCAGAGTCCTCGCCTGGGGAAATCCTTTGGAAATTAAAATTAGGGACAGCAGCTTCCCATTCCTTGAATGATTCACCGATGGCAAAGTATATGTCTTGAGGATCAACGCCAAACGGCATTTCAATACCTGACAAGAAACCGTAGGTCAGCGGGAAGTGATCCCATCTCCGACTGTAAAGTTTGTGGTTACCATCCGAATGGAAAGTTGGTAGACTGATGTCGTCTGGGCTACCGATGCTTCTCCTCCAGTCCGGCGGAGATTCGAATTTCACGATTCTAGACTTAACTACAAAAGGTTGCAGCAAAAGGAGCAAAAGAAATGTTCCGACGAGCTCATGGGGAATTTTATCTGCCATTGGTGGAAGTACGTAAGATGAACTATTGTTGTGTGCTTTTTGATGTTTGCCTTGCCTCCTATTTATACCAAAAATTAATATCTGAATTTGCTATCACTATAAATGTAATCAGGTACACGAATTTAATACACAATAAATTCAGATCAGATGGTAGCATACCAAGTCCACAAAATTAGATCAGATAAGATGATAGCATGGCAAGTTCATGGCTATTACAATAAACAATTATCGACAGGAAATAAGATTTTTAATATATTAAATATGATGTTAAAAAAAGATATATATTCGTATTCACATGTTAAAACAATTATCGGGTTTAACAACGTTACATGTGCACGAGTTTTAACTACAATTATTCAATAAATAAAAAATATAAAGGTTATACTTGAACATTTATAAATGTATTATAATGTTATGAGAAATGACTTTACATGGTAGAAAGGGTAAATCTAATGATTTTTCATTATAATTAATATGTAATCTATGTGAGATTTGTTGCTAATGCAACAAAAAAAATTGGCATTGGTTGAATATTAACTTTTATAAGTATATAAATATAATATTTCTATTTTTATTCATTAAATTATTAGAGTCAAAAACCATATATAGTTCATAGTTATTATAATAAACAATTATTGATGAGAAATAAAATTTTCAAATTATTAAATATGATATGATACAGAATCGACACAATTATTCTACAACTATCAAATACACTAAATAATGCGACTTATAGGAAAAGAGGGAGAGATTACAGGAAGGAGAACCGTGGGAAGAAGATTATATGGCCAAAGAAACAGAGGAAAACATATATCTATTTATAATTGTAAGTCTTCAGAAAGCTGCCTCTGGCTTCAAGAAGCTGTGATATTCCAACTGCGTCATTTCACCACCATTCACCGGATCAAATTGGCATCGGTAAAAGCTGTGCATTATATTCAATCAATTAACCCTTTTAGACACTTATACTTTAATATCACAGCAAAGATGTTAAGTAAAAATGAACAAAAAGGAAAAGGGCCCAAGTCAATCTAATGTCATGTACGTATTAAGTGCATGTAACAATTCCTACATCTGTATCATATTGGTTTTTATTGTGTTGTGTTTGTATTATCTTGTGATCGTGTTGTTTTTTACAATTGCTGCATAGAGGCGGAAGATAATTTCACCAGCTCAAGGTGAACCATCTTGATGACAACTTCCCTAGATGATTCAAGGAAACTTCCCAAGAATATACTCGTGGAATATTTACAAATTATGTTCTAACAGATAACCCAAGGAAACTAGTGGAGTCTCACAATTTCCTATGAAGTTGTGGACGACAACTCCTATGTCCAGGGGTATTGAGTTAATTATCAATAATCCTGCTAAGTAACCTAATACTTCCCAAAGTTGGTCCTAAATGCGAGCTTATCGATTTATCAGCATATTCAAATTCAACATAAAAGAGAAACAACAAAAAATTGTATACCGAATTACTGATGATTGTTCTAACCAATTTTCTTTTATTCCACTATCGGTATTTGTATTTTCCATACCTTCCATCAATGCCAAGAATTACCACCGTATTCTTTTGGTGACCGAAGGCAACAATGTACTGAGAACCTTCAACCAAGCGGAACTGAGCCACTGACCATTCTGAGCTGAAGTACTTCGGTAACACCCCTGCATGTGGAAAACATGTTCAAATGATGATGGTAAACTCCCCAAAATAAAAATTTTCAAACAACTAATCTTTAGACATGATAGGCACAATCTAATTTAACTCACATCCTATTGAAGAACCAGTTTCTCTTATGCCTGAAGTATGAGATTAACTCTCCCATATGCAAAAAACCACTTTAGATGTTCATCATAGTCGCTGAAATTTTTTGAAGACAACCTCAAATATGTATTTTCTAGAGCGAAAACAGAAACAAATTTGTTTAATGCTGTTAGAATGCTATTTCACAGACTAGGTGTACTTATCATTGAACTGAATTAGTATTTTCACAGACTAGGCAATTGACATGGATGTTTTCGTTCCATGATAGATAGCTTCTATTAATATAATTTAGTAGAGGGAAGCGTGAGCATTTGCATAATCTAATCCTAGGTAGAGAAAGTGGAATAGATCAATCATGTCATTTTTCACAGTTATCCATTGTCTTTAGACACAGAGACATTCACCTTTGATAAAAGAAAGAGACGAATGGGGTGATGCAACAGGCTCTGTTGCACTTCGTGACTGGGTAGTAGCAGGAGATGCAGCATTAAGTTTAAGGCCGAAAACATGGACGGTGCCTTTGTCACTCGAAACTGCTAACCACTGGGCATTTGAAGAGAATGCCAAACTATAAATTTCAGCTCTATCTGCACCCCTCCTTACCTACATTGATATTCAAGAGAACTTTCAGAATATCAGAATCAGAACATGTGAGATAATATCATGTTTAATTATCAATGCTAAACAGAATCACAAGACCATAAAAACCACCACAGTGAACATCAACTGCAAGTAGAAAATTCAAAAGAAAGCCAACATTCATACAGTGCCAGATGATAGTGCGATTGAAAAGGCCATAGGAAAACAAAAGATCACAATGATGAACTGAAAATAGAACAGTGCTTAGAGCAATAAATCACATACCTCTTGCAGCAAGCTACCGTCAGCAGTTTTATAAATTCGAACCAGCGTCCCTTTCGTGCTCGAGGTTGCAAGCAACTGGCCATCCTGGGAGAGAGCAAAGCACGCAATTCTTGAATCATGAGCCATAATGAACTTAGTCCTCTTCGAGGCGTAATGCTCCACCCTAACTTGCCCCTTCTGCAATCCAGGGCAAACCAAAACCAATGATCCCGCCCCTTGAGACACCGCGCAGAGTCCCTTTGGATTCGCGATGGTTTCAATCTGGTGCAGCAGCTTCAAATCCACAAAATTGTAAACGAAAATCTTCTGCTCCAAAACGACAATGATTCGATCCCTCCGAAGTCGAACCGATCTTACTTCGGAACGAAAAGAAAGCTCGCTGATGCATCGGCTCTGGTGATCGTCCCAGATCATAACCTTATTCGGCGGGTACTGCGGATCGGATCCACCGCCAACGAGAGCCAAAATATTGCACCGGAAAAGCATCTCGACAACCCCGATGCCGCCACCGCGATCGAAATCACGGCGAAAGATCTCGCGGAACGGATCGCAATTGTAGATCCGGAAGCCATGATCAGTGCCGGCGGCGAAGCAACCATGATCCTGGTTGAAGGAGAGGTGGAGAAAAGACGGCAGTGGCACGGATGGAGCAAGCGACTGGGGCGGGTTCGAAAGCGCAGAATGAAAATTGGGGTCCGGTTCGGAAGAAGATTCCCGGTTGAGGTTAGATTGGTCGGAAGGGGAAAGGAAATTGGTGTTAGGGTTCGAGTTAGGGTAAGTTGAGAGGGTGGCCATTGGAGGTATCTAAGATGAAATTATGGGGACCGGTGACGACAAGGTAAAAAAAAAACTAAAAGCAATCAAAACAAAATTACGATGTTTTCCTTCTAGACGAAGAATATGAAGGACTGTTGTTGTGTCCTTTTTGAGGTTAACGGCGAAATAAAGAATAAGAAAGCAGTTGGAAAGAAGTTTCTCTAGGGTTTTATTAGATGCCACGTGTCTAATAAAAAGTGCCGGCTAGTTTCGCTTCGCGCCGACGCCAACTTCGTTAAAATATATAATTGTTTTTTCCCTCCATCAACTTCGATTATCAACTTTGATTACGATGGAGCTGACATGAAGTCACGTGCAGCAGTTTAATATATAAATAAAGAATGATGTCATTAAAAATATTATTATTTTTAATAAAATATTACTTAAAACATTATCTTCTTACTGAAAATATTATTATTGAACGTTTTAGTGGGTTTGATAATATATTCGATATAAAAAATGTTTTTAGTATATCTTTTTCTAACCATATTAAATAAGCATGATGATGGACTTCCCCCAATAATAATGCATTGTTAAAATCGTTAAATTCCGTCATAATTTCAACCACAAATATATTGTCAAAGCCATTCAAACATCCAAATTAATTTGTGCCTACTATCTATAGCTTTTTGAGAGTAATTATTAAAATTTATTTATTTTTTATTAAATTCATTGATGATATTTATCTTAATTTTTGTATGTTCAGATTTTAAAAAAAAATGTATTACTAGCATATTTATCTATTCTCAAAATTATTTTTGAATTCACTATTAAAATTAATGGCCCCTGACAGTTTAGTGCATGAAAAACTTAATTTAGCACATTTTACCTTATGAACCCATATGTTATTTTAATTAATTTAGGGTATTATAAAATAATACTACTTGTTTTAAAGGTTCTAGATTATTTGATAATAAAAGTTCAAATACTTTTACAGTTTCTAGTCTCAAACCTAAAATATTTAGAGATAATAATTATTCTTTTAATCACTAAATATTATGAAGACTTGCATTTATATACTCATAACGTATCAATGAATATTTGAACATATTACACTTTTAAAAATGATTAAAATTTAAATTTTAAAAAAATATTATCAAAAGGTACCACTATAAATTTAAACATAAATTATAAAATAAACGTGAACCATAATAAAAATAGCAATACAATACGACGGATAATACCACCAATTAGGACTATGATCAATGCTTAATGAAACAAGCTTAGCTAAGTGGTGTGCATCAAAAGTGAGGATAATATTATATGTAATAAGCAGCATTTGCATATGGATCACAACCTTCTTATGAATTACTTCGGAAATTATTACGTGATTAGAAAATTTAGTTTTGGTTTTTTGATTGTTAAGGATTATAGAATATATATTTGGCATTGATATATTCGATTCAGTTTGATTAAAGATTAATTCATTGGTATGTACTTTGACATTAATTTTTTGTTAAATATTGATAATTTTGAATTTGGTTTGTCTTTAGTAATTTATAACGTTATGAATTAAATGAATGTTTCATAATTTTTTTTGAAACAATCAAAACTTGAGTTTTCGATTTTTTATAGCACCATTTATGAAACCCTATATTGAGTTATTTTGGACGCTATAGTGCAATTAGAAATTCCAGTTTTGACCTTTGATTCTTATAGAAATATTAAATTTGAATATTGATATTTATTTTGAGACAACTTAATTAAAGCATTAAGTCTTTAAAGTGACCTCTATTGTGGAAAATATTTTAGTTTATGTACATGTACCTTAAGTTTTATTAGTATTGATAACCCAAAGGAAGATTAATAGTTGACATAATTGCATGTACAACTTTGGTAATAAGCATGTGATAATTATTTGGTCTGATGTGTGAGTAATAAATCGACCCAAATGAAGATTTTTGCTTTACATGTTCTTATTGTCAGTGTTTGGTTAACACATCAGATATCACTTAAGGTGAATATTTTGTCTAAAGATGAAATATTAATGGAGTTTTTGATATCTTGGGATGATGTTTAAGTGTATTCAAATTTAATATTATTTTGGTTATCTTTTACTTAAAAGATAAAATTAAGAGAAATTGATTTGTTCATAATATTTATATGGTTTTATTTATATTGTTCATGTAATATATGTATATATTCAATTCAGTTTGATCAAAATTTAAGTTTTGATTTTTGGTTATTAGAATTTATATATATATTGAGACAAATTAATTCATATTTTGGCTAGATCTAATATTTTGGTAGATTAGTTGAAACAAAATCCTGCCACCTCTTTTGTGTAGACTGATTTATTCAAAATATCAAGATGATTTTGTGTTTCTTGTAATTCATGCGTTTATAATTGACCCAAATGAAAATTAATATTTGGCCTGGATTTCAAGGGACATCTGTGGTAATAATATGTGACAATTATAAGGTATTTTATGTGAGCATTACACTAGTTCAAAGAATAGTCTATTGTTGGACATAACTTATTGTCAATGTTTGATTACTACAACAAGAGTATTGTTTATTGTTAATATTATTGTCCAAAGACTTGATATTGATGTAGTGTTTGGTATCTTATGATGAGAATTAGCCATTATTTTGAATTTATTTGTTTACTTAAGAATATTAATATGAGCTTTAATTTTATTTATGTTTTGTTCTATATTAAGCTAATTATTTACTTATTGCTATCACAATATCTATTATACATTTTATGCTCATGCTTAGGAAAATGAATCTCAAGGAATAAAAAGATGCACTTGCTTAAGGTTTTAGTTGTATGAACATAGACTTTGCACTAAGGAAATAACAATTTGCACCTCTCATGAGGGATAACATCCTTATTTGGTATAACGGATTTTGAGAGGTGAAATTTGTTCAAATTGCATAAGTGTAGTGGTCATGAAGCAACAACATTTTTGAAGCCTTTAAGGGCACATAATCTGAAAAGATTACTTAGGCCAATGTTTTCCTTGATGAAATTGAGAAATGTTTTCCTAAAAACAATAAGGTTTATATGACATTATTTTTTACTTCTTTGATAAAGTATAAGGGTCAAGGAAATATGGGGAGTGCATTATGGAGATGTTTTATATTGCTTTAAGTCTTAAGGCACTTAAGATCGAGTTTTTCTGAATAATTACTTGTTCTTGTGGTTTCAATAAATCTTCCTATAAAGTTTAATCAACTGAAAGGTTGAAGCATAATAAGTTTGAAAATATTATTTTTCATTTAGAGTTCAATCGCTATAAATACAGAGTTGATTATGTGTTTATAAGCATATTGGTACAAACTCATTATTGTGCGCTTATTAAAGAACTGTCATCCTAGGTCTCTCATGAGCACACTGCTCATGTGGATGTAATATTATTTAAGGATATTCAGTTTTAGTGGACGTTTGTAATTTAAATTTATGTTGGTTATAAACATAATTTCAGTTACTTCAGTTTCAGGATATTTATTTTAAGGTTATTTTCTCCATAAATAAAGATTGTTTTAGTTTATCCACACTATGGTTTTGGGAAAATTTGATCTCACTAAAGAGGACCAGTTGAAAATAGACATGTACGGTTCACATTGCATATAATTTCCATATTACGCTCCATGTTTGACTATGTCATTTGATTGTGTTTGTATACGTGCCCATTGATAGGTCTAATCATGATTGATATGACAAAGACCACTTTGGTCTTATATGGATATAGTTGATGGACGAGATTGTTATAGAATACCTATTGTATGATAACAAATTTTGAGCTCATAAGGTTATACATTTATCAGGAAACATATGTTGTCTAGTCATGATTGATATGACAAAGGCTACTTTGGTCTTATATGGATATAGTTGATGGACAAGATTGTTATAGAATACCTATTGCATGATAACAAATTTTGAGCTCATAAGGTTATACATTTATCAGGAAACATATGTTGCCTAAGTTGGAGATTGTTGGATTAGAATCCATAATTATGGGCACATATTTTTAATGTATATTATTATCATAAAATATGACATAAATTAAGTGGTCAATTATGTTATAAAGTCATAAGTTATTAGAAATGTCATTGAAATAAAAATGTAGATACTATTAAAGTTGTATTTATAATTCAATGAGTGACAGAGTTATAAGTACAAGCAATAATTTATTCTTAAATCAGCTATATAAAGGGGTTATTATCCCAAAAAAATAGATCATCTCTGTATTTTCTCTTATCCCTGTTAGAGAGTTTATATTTGAGAGAATTCTTTCTTGAAAGATCACAACCAATACAATTTTCAAGATTTCAACCTTTAGATAATCTCCAACAATGAATTCAGGTATGTTTCTGCAAATCTAATATTTTTTTATTGTTGATAATTTGACATGATTAAATCCTAGTTTGTATACATAATTATTACAGTTCGGTTATAACACAGGATACGCAGGGACAGCATTAGGAGTTTTCTCACCAAACCTGTACACAAAGTAGAGCTTACCTTTTACCTTGCCGATGGTTTCTTAACCGGGTACGTGGTATACTTAGCAGGGCTTCCTCTACCGGCGCTGTCGAGTAGATCCTTGATGGGAATTTGGGTTTCACCAATCTCTTTGTCACCACGAAAGGTGCGGCAACATACGAGCCAGGAAGTGATGAGCGGTGTATTTGTTTGAACAAGGGTTCCGTTGATGGTAAACAGCATGGGATGGTTCCACTTGGGGCTGGTGCCGCCGTCTTTGTGCAACGGTGTTATCTTCTCAGTGGTTGTGTCTCCGGTGATCTTAACGACGACGAATACGTCCATTTTAGAGAGGTGCTTCACCTTCTTGTGACCTTCTTGCAGAGACTACAGTAATCTCCAATGCTCTCATCTGCTCCATCGCTGATTTCTACTTTCCTCGGATGAGTGCTAGTAGATTTATAGAAGTTACTGACTAGGGAGCTTAGTTGACTTGAAGGATGAAATCAAACTCCTCCGTTTCTGATGATTGTTGCTTCATATGGTTTACAGTGGAATTTGTCAACACATGAAAACTCAACGATTCAATAAGTCAGACAAAGACAGCTAATGCCTGTCCAGATCGAAGCCCAAAGGCCACGAACCTCGCGTCGGTCCAGCAAAAAAACAATAGTAGTTTACATTTGAAATATCAATTTAGTTCTCGCTCTAAAAAGTTCAACTAATTTAACCTTCAACATTCCTATAGTATTTAAATTTATATATTGAACTTATTAAAACAATGATCAAATTGATATAATATATAATGTTCAAATTCAAAAATGAAAGGGACATCTAAAAAATGATTTTATTTTTTTAAAAAAAATTACGTGGTTAGAATTATATATAACTATTTTATTTTATTTTCATTTAAGGGTATGTAGTTATGAGAAGACATTCGAAAATGATGCAGGATAAGACGAAGAAAGTAGTTGAAGAGCAATCACAGAGATCTTGATGACGATGCAATTGAAGCAAAGCCGATTGATCATGACCACAAATGAGATACGGGAAGATTAAGCCAAGTATATCGGCTTTTTTGCGACAGAGCATCGCACGTTGCCGGTTTTCGGAGAAAACCGACAACCCAGTAATCCAAATTTATGAAACTGTAATTATAGATTTCATCACTTTACTTTAACCATATTCCCGTTTTGGTTACTAAATTTTAAAAAGTTTCAATTTGATCATTCTACTTCGACAAACGGTGTGATGACGTACACCGAAATAGCATCGTTTTAGATCTCTTAAAAAGATAGTACATGCCATCTTATCGCTTGTAATTTAACGATTGAATGACCAAAAGCAAAATAATTATAAAGTTGAATGATCAGAATGAAAGTTTTTAAAATTTAGTAACTAAAAGAATATGGTCAAGATTGAGTAGTAAAATTTGCAGTTTACCCTTGATTAAATCATTAGGGCCAGACATCTCTCCTCGTATTTATATGACAAATTTTCGATGACAGCCGATACTTCCACGTTAACATTTCACACACTTGTCATTTTGGATCCGAATATCCGTGTTTAAGCCCTTTTCCACACTAATTTCAAATCAATATTTTAATTGATTAAAGCACAATGCACTGACACCTGTTTTTTTTTATAAAAAAAATACTTTATTGAACTGGGGGAGGTATAACCTTCTGTATGCTGGAAAATAAAAATTACAATGTCAATATCTCATTGTATTAGGGTTATGAATGAAGAAGCAGGAACTCATGAGCAGGATGGTACAATGGATAAAGCTGAGTTAAGGAGAAGACGTTTAAATCTTAAATTCTAAATTCTAATTATGCTTGTTTTTGATGCAGATGGTATATACTGGCCAAAGTTTGTGATCGCTGTAGCAAGTGCAGCAATGATTTCAGGGACTTACTATAATCCAACAATCACTCACTTTGGGGCCGGTGTTTCGAGAAGACTTCGCCGGAAAGATTGAAAGAGTTCATCCGAAAATATGATTTATTAGACATAGGTGATTATGATCAAAGGAAGCCGACGATTGGGCGGCAAAGAGTACCGATGAGAAAGATATTGCACCGGAACACATCAAGGATGATGGATACACTGTATTAAGAATAAAATTAACTCACAAATGAGAAGCATTGTGTTTTAGACAATGGAAACTGGATTTCATTAATAAAATAATCGAAGGAATAAATAACGTTCATAAAAACTCATTATTTCTGTCGAACGAAATAAAGAAATAAATATTTCCTTGAGAATGACGACCAATATCGAAAGAGTCTAGTAACCTTCATAAAAACTCATTATTTCTGTCAAACGAAACACTTTATGATACAATAAATGAGTGGTGAACGAATCAAACTATCTGACAAGTTATTTCACTACATAATTATTATTATATCGACAAACAACGTTTTACTAAAGAATGTATATGAATATACGTGTCCATCAATAAACCAACTAGAACACAAATGTCGCGAGGTTATTAATAAATTTAGTTTAATGTAATTATATCAAAATTTATATCAAGATAAAATTAAGTTTTCAATTAATTTAGATCATATTTAAAGTATAAATATGTTATTAAATTGGATAGATTTGTATATATTTTTATTTTGGAAAAATTTATGTTAAATTAAATCAAGATAAAATTAAGTTTTCAATTAATTTAGATCATATTTAAAGTATAAATATGTTTAAATCCAAATTGAATCAAAGTTAAATTTTATTTTAATATTTTAAGATCGAATTCAAATCATAAAAAAACTCAGCTCTTTTCAATCCCCAGTTTCATATGATGAAAAGGGTAGTTTTAAATTTTAATGCATGAAATATTACATGTTTTAGGCTAAATTAGACAATAAGTAAAATAATTCACACTAAATAAATGTTTTCATTAGTAATAACAAGTGACGGATCCAGAAATATTTTTTAGGGTGAGTACATGTATTCTAGTATCATAAACTTTTGAATAGGTGGACACAATTAAAATTTCAGAGTGGTTATAATTGATTTTTTTTCTAATTAGAATATATAATGATAAAAAAAGAAGTAAAATTAAAGAATTTAGCGTGCTATTCAATAATTGCTAGATTGATATCTGTATGTTTTGAAAAACAATTTAATTCATAATATTTAGTTTGATAATTACTCTGATTTATATTTTGATTTTAGCGTGCTATCCAATATTGTCGTAGTTTTTAATATATAAACCTCGTCACCCTCACATTTGGGAGCTGCCTATTCCCACTTTCACCTACCCCGTAGGCCTTAGCCCCTTCATCTTCCCCACCCCGCCGTCCCTCAAACAAACACAATACTTGCTTTACTGTTAGATAATTTTCATATACTTGAGCAAACCATGTCTAGTGATCGTGAACAAGAATCCATTGAAGAAACCCATCACGAAGACGAAGTCGAGTCAAGTGCCCCCCATGAGACGCAGAAGAAGCTGCGCAGATACGATTCCATGGACTTGGAATCCGCCAAGGTTCCAACCCATCACGGCCATGGCCCCAAGGTATATGTTTATTGCTATATATATTGGTATGCGTATAGGCGCTTCTAACATTTGATGAACTACGTAGGATCTGGGATGGACGGTGATACTGCAACTAGCGTTCCAGAGCATCGGCGTTGTGTACGGAGATATCGGCACATCGCCGCTCTACGTCTATGCCAGCACCTTCTCCGACGGTATAAAGAATAACGACGACGTGTTGGGTGTCCTCTCTTTGATCTTCTACACCATCACTCTCATCCCTTTGATCAAATACGTCTTCATCGTCTTACGAGCCAACGATAATGGTGAAGGTAAGCACTTGATTAAGATCCAGTACTTAATTAAACACTACTAAAGTCATCGCATGAATATTAAATAATCCAATGAATACATGGATCGACAGCTTCATGTGGTCACAATATTTGACAATATGTTTCCCGTCATGCTATGAAATTTTTAATTAAATTAACTAATATATTTTGTCAGTTTGAACATGGGTGATCTGCGTTGGGAATTAAGCAAACGGTGCGAGTCTAATTAATTAAATAATCACGCTAATTATAGTGAATTATCTGAGGGAGAACTCTACTTAGTAGGTTGCTTTCAGTTCTTTTTCTTGGTCATGCTCTAAGCAAAGCGTCTTGCATTAAAAATAAATAAAGTCTCATGCTGGCGTTGATTTGCTTCTTAAATTTCGTGAAATCGTTTATTTTAATGCAAATCCCAATTGGTGAAATCGTTAATTTGCATTAAAAGTAATTAATTTAGGTAATCTTCAGTAAAATAGTTTATTTTATAAACATGGGTCGGATTCTTGTAACAAAATACGATGAATCAACCGACATAACAACGTTTTTAATGCAAATCCCGATTGGTAGGGAAATAATTAATGGTAATTTAAGAAGCAACTGGACATAAATTAATATATTTTTCAACTATCTGAAAATATTGAAATCAATTTTTTTTTTGTGTAAACACATTGTATGTAGAAAATTATTTCAAAAAATAATATAGATTAAAGATAAAAAAAAAGTATTTATATCATTGAAAAAATACAAAAAAATAGTAAGAAAATACAAAAAATAGTAAGTAGAGATGGGCATGGGTCGGGTTGTATTTTCGGCCAACTCGTCCCGAAAATTATACATCATCCATCCGAACCTGATCTGACCCGAAAAATATACACCTTCTACCCGACTCGACTTTTTGAGATAAAAATCGAACCAGACCCAACCAAACTCAAAATAATATATTTATTAAAAATATATTATTTTTATTGAATAAAAAATAAAGATTTAATTGAAAAATAATATATAGAGAAACATTATTATAATTATCCCTAAATATAAAGGTAAAGTTATATGTTTTTCTCGGGTCGGATTGGATATTTTTTACCTATAACCCAAACTCAAACCCGACCTGAACACAATCTCTAAAAAAATTGACCCAATCAAATTAAATCGGATCATAACCCGTCGGATCCGGGTCTCATGTTAATCCCTAATAGTAAAAGACGCATAGCACACCTTAACTTATAATGTGATTAGAAGAGGTAACAATTTTTAGGTTTTATGATCTAGTCTAACTTTCTACGAATGAAATGGTTGAAAAATAATAACAAACGTAATATTTTAGGTTAAATACGAACATATTATTAATAAAAAAACATAGAATATACTTATATTATATAATAATATAATTTTTTCAAAGAAAACGATTATCCTACGGCTCCCACGGTCTATACCTGGTGAAAAGGATTGATAGGTGTTTTCCATTTGTTCAGGGGGAACATTTGCCCTATACTCGCTGATATGCCGATACGCAAGGGTAGGTTTGATCCCAAGCCAACAAGCAGAGGATCGTGATGTATCCAATTTCCAGCTTGAATTACCCAGCAAGCGTCTCCAAAGAGCTTCCAGACTCAAGTCTAAGCTAGAGAAGAACCAGTTTGCCAAATTTTTTCTGTTGATCATCACCATGCTCGGCACTTCCATGGTCATTGGCGATGGCGTCCTCACCCCTTGCATTTCGGGTTTACCTTCTTTTTCTTTTCTATATATACCTTCATTCATTCACATTTCTTTATTATATTCACTTACATGGTCCTTGCAGTGTTGTCTGCTGTTAGTGGCATCAAGAACGCTACATCTGCAATGACAGAAGGTCAATATATAAACTGCAACTTACCTCTTTGCATATTTAATCTTTTTATTTTCTTGAAAGCTGCTGACATTTGGTGCAAAACAGATAGGATTGTTTGGATATCGACAGTAATCTTGGTGTGCCTCTTCATGGTTCAAAGATTTGGAACAGACAAAGTGGGCTACACCTTTGCTCCCATAATTTGCGTCTGGTTCACACTCATCGCCGGGATCGGGATTTACAATTTCTTCAAATTTGACCGATCAGTCATCAAAGCTATAAACCCAAAATACATTGTGGATTACTTCCAGAGAAACAAAAAGCATGCATGGGTTTCCCTTGGTGGTGTCGTTCTTGCCATCACTGGGACGGAGGCGTTGTTTGCCGATGTTGGTCATTTCACGGTTCGCTCCATACAAATAAGCATGTGCTCAGTGACTTACCCAGCTTTGATCATGGCCTATACGGGGCAAGCCTCTTTCCTTCGTAAACACGAAGATTTAGTCTCCGATACTTTCTTTAAATCCGTTCCAGGTGATACCCAGTTTTTTTGTTGTGATGTTGAGTTTCATTTGTAATGATTTTCTTGTAAGGCAGCTAAGTGTGGCGATTTGCAGGCCCTCTCTACTGGCCGATGTTTGTGACGGCGGTGGCGGCTGCGATTATTGCGAGTCAAGCAATGATTTCAGGGGCTTTCTCTATAATCCAGCAATCACTCTCGTTGGGGTGTTTCCCTCGTGTCAAAATTGTCCACACATCAGCCAAATACGAAGGTCAAGTTTATATCCCTGAGGTGAATTACTTGCTGATGCTAGCCTGTGTTGGGGTTACTCTTGGATTCAAAACCACAGAAAAAATTGGCAATGCTTATGGTAATATTTCAATCAGTCTTAAGACTCGAGTCCGAGACCTTGCTAGAGGGACATTGAGCTCTCTACTACTTGATTCAACTGCCGTCGGTTCATTCCTTTCATTTCTTGTAGCTCAATCTTCTACTTATACTTGAACTGTGCATATATGCAGGGATTGCAGTGGTGTTCGTAATGACTCTAACATCATCCCTGTTGGTTCTCATCATGATCATGATATGGAAAACCGATATACTCTTCATAATCGCCTACGTTCTTATCATCGGCTCCGTCGAGTTTACCTATTTGAGCTCTGTCCTCTACAAGTTCAATCAAGGCGGCTACTTGCCGTTGGCTTTCGCGGTGGCCCTAATGACCGTGATGTATGTTTGGAACAATGTGTATAGGAAGAAGTACAACTTCGAGCTTGACAACAAAATCTCTCCCGAAAGATTAAAGGATATTACATCCGACACTAACCTATGTCGAATCCCGGGGCTTGCCCTGTTTTACTCGGAGCTTGTTCAAGGCATTCCACCTATATTCGAACATTATGTAGCAAACATACAAGCATTGCATTCGGTCCTTGTTTTTGTTTCCATCAAATCGCTACCGATCAGCAAAGTTCCGGCCGAAGACCGGTTTCTATTTCGAAGAGTGGAACCGAATGAGCTAAGTGTGTTCCGTTGCGTCGTTCGATACGGGTACACCGATATCCACAACGAAGAGGACTCGTTGGAGCGGATTCTAGTCGAGAAGTTGAAAGATTTCATCAAGGAAAACATATGGTTGGCACATGTTGTCGATGGAAAGAAGGCTATCCAAGGTGGAAACGAGATGAACGGAGGGGAAGTCGGCAACGAATGGCGAGAGACGGCGGAAAGAGAGATAAGGGTGGTGGACAAAGCGTCGGAAGCTGGCGTCGTACACCTGATAGGCGAAAGCGAGGTGATTGCAAGCAAAGGGAGTGGGGTTGTTAAAAGGGTATTGATAGATTATGCTTACAATTTCATGAAGAAAAACTTGAGACAGAGTGAAAAGGCGTTTGATATCCCTCACAGGCGTATGCTTAAGGTTGGCATGACATATGAGTTGTAGAATTAATTATTCGATTTATATTTGATGTCGGATATAATTTTATGTATCTTTACATAAAATTATATATTATCAATATATCAAATATAAATATTTAATTATTGTGTACTATACGAATAAATTAGATATACAAGACTGACGTATATCTACTTTGTAAACAGCTAATGTTGTATTACAGTATCACAAATGTTTAAGTTTTCATAATCGAATAAATTACAAATAAACTGATAAAAGATTTGTATTTTATATCTTTGACAAACATGACTTTTTTTCTTCTAGAAAATAAAAAATATATAATATTAGAGAAAGCAAATAATTTTATTGTGCGATAACCTAATTAAAGGTTAAAAAACAATAATTATTGATATAACTTAAAATGTTAATTTTTTCTAATATTTTTTATTGAATAAAAAATATTATATTTTTGATTCAACTAAAAATATTAAAAGATTTAATATTTAATATTACGATATAATCAAAAATATTATACTTTTAATAATGTCTTCAATTACATTCATTTTATATTATTTCTTAATCTTAAATTAAACCATCATCGATTAGATTTTTCCTAAAGAAGGTGAGGAAAGTACCTAAACGACATGATAAAATTTGGGAGTACAGTGATTGGATGGTGCTGGCTTTTTATGAGAAACGAACTGTCTCCCAGGGTGGGACCCTCGCAGCCTCCAGACAGCTCTTTCTTTCGTCAGATTGGGATCAGTTGAACAGTATCAACTCAACATGGATTTTTTACCCGGATATCACCTAATAAAAAAATATTGCTTATTTTAATAGCTATCTATAATTATTTTCAGATTGAGTCCGTTTTATATCACATAGGTCAAAGCATATTTTGTAGACGACGTCTTCTGTTGATCTGTATAAAAGTTGATTGGGTTGAGTTAAAATGAAATAATATATATATATGAAATTTTTCTAAAAAAGAATTACAATGTATGTTAAAGACACGTAATTATATAAATATAAATAAAATAATATTAGTGGTATATGTATTAGTTTTATATTTAATCACACAATGAATGAATATTTAAATGATTATATTTAAAAGCTGTAAAATCCATATATCTATATTATGTGGGATTTGAAATTTATCATAAGCTTATAAAATCTTACATTGTGTAGACATTTTATAACCTTTTAAACATACACTTAAGTGATTGAACATGAGATTGATATATGTGCGTCGTCGTCACTCGGTTCGTACTTAGGCCTGTAAATGAACCGTACGAACACGAACGAGGGTAACTTCATGTTCATTCATTTAGTTTTAACCGGACAAATGAATGAACACGAACAACTAAATGAACGGAATTTCTTGTTCGTTCATTAAGAAATGTAGCTTGTTTGTATTTATTCATGTTCGTTCGTTAAAATGATAAACGAACGAACATAATTGGATTTATATATGAGAAGAGTTTTTTTATTTCTAAATAATTTTATGATTTATATTTTCTTTAATTGCTTTGAGTATTTTTTTATTTAGGTTTATATTACAACAAACAATATAATAATAATAATAATAATAATAATAATAATAATAATAATAAAAGTTTTCAGTTTATTATTATCTTTTTAATTTATAATTTATCTTTAACGAGTACTATTTTTTATTAATTGAGAAAGACATTAAAAGTATCGTTTATTTTATTATTTCTTTAATGCAACTACCCATAAAATATTTAATTAATTTTATCACCTAAGAAAAAAATATAAAAGATAAAAAAAAAAGTTAAGAACTCAAATCTCAATACATACCTATGTTTCTTTAGATGGAATCTTAGCCATTAATTCCTTTATATATATATTATACATGATTTTTAAATACGAACTATAAAATAATATAAATAATTAAAACAATATTTTCAATGAATGTGTTTTTTTAATTTTTTTAACGAAAAACAATGTGAATAATTTAATATCATTGCTAGTTAGATTTTAATTAATTATTTTAATTGAATTAATATAAAATAAATTATTATATAACTGAGTCAAGTTTGTCAATATTGTAGACACGCCACGCGTCTCAATATTCTCTCCATTGACGATTATATGCACAAAACAACCAAAAAAGGTAATGAAAAAACATATTTTTCAATATAATTTTGTGACGGAAAATGAAGGTTTGTTTCCATTTATCAACCATATACGGTAAAACATTTTAAATAAAAATTCAATTAGTTTAAAGTAAATCATTGAAAATTATATTCTGACTGCTAACAAACCGACTATTCAATTCGCAAGTTCATGCACTTGGGAACGACAAATCTTGTTTCGTGACTTGAAAAGATAGAACGGGAGATTTAAATAGACCGACGTAATTATAATGTAACATCTGTTTATATTATTTTTTAGTCATTGACAATGTATATATACATTATAGACATAACTTCTTAAACTTAAGACCTTTAAAAAAAATAACACTTCATTTTATCACTGAAACTACCTGATGGATTCTCTATACATCACATTAAATAGATATCATATTCATCAAATATGATTTACTTTCCAGATGTTTTGAATGATAAACACATGAGACTCAAAATCTCGTGCTAAAGAGCGTAAAGGTTTGAATCATCTTCAAGGTAAAATATAATTGGAATGCTCATTAAATTGAATTAATTTCGACAGCCGATCACGAGATTTTGGTGATCTTCTCTAACAAAATGTGGATTCCACTTTGAAAATGTTCTCTTTGTACACTTTCCGAGTATATAATCATAAATACATTTTAGTTTTAATTTAAGTATAAAATAAAAATAATATTTTTAAGTATAACTATCGGTATTTATTTTATTGACTGATTAATCTGAATCAAATATTAAATACTCTTAATCTTATTAAAGAACTTAAAGTCTCGTTTAAATAAATCAATTGATAAAATATTATATCTTTAATATGTATAAATTTTCTATTTCCTCTCCACAGTACTTTTCGTCTACTGAATTATTGAAAACAAACAAAAGTTTTGTTAAGTGTTTTTTTTAAAACTGAGGTATTGGGAATGTTGATTTTATAGTGAATAAAGATTAATTTCAAGGATTTATATGTCTTTCTTCTAAAAGTATTTTTAAGATTTTATTTATATTGTTTTTGAAGTTAAATATTTATTATATTTAAATATTAAATTTCGTTCAAATAATATCAGTTTTAAAATTTAAATAAAAATATTTCGGATTTAAAAATATAATATGCTTCACCATTATATACATGAATTATTGATTTTATTTCCTTCTTATCAATAAATCGCCGCTTGTTTTTATTTTTAACCCATAAAACTTTTCCGGCAATTTTGCTCCCATGGAGCTTTGAAAATAAAGAATGACTGAAATGGGGAAGGAGAAAAATTATTTTTCCAAATAATGTATTATGAATAGTATCATTCACCGTTGCTCTCTTCTCCTCCACTGCTGTAGCCTTTCTCTACCTCCTTCTCTGTTGCAGATTCATGTGGTGAAAAGTTTGAAGGCGTGCATGGTGACCTACAGTTTCGCTGTACGTGCATGGCGACTTACAGCTTGATCGTTCTGCACGACGTATGGAGGATATGACGACCTGCATAAGTCACCCGGAACATTTAGCGTCCAATTTTTTTATTGTAAAAAGCACCTTGTCTCAGTAATTAATCCTTCAACTATATTATCTCAAGAATTTTTTATTTTAAAAATATTATCTCGTGATTTTTGTCACCTTTATGAAATCAAAACATTTAAATTTGTATATGTTTTTATTAGAAACATAAATAAAAAAAACGAGACACTGCCCCAAATTTCCTAAAATAGGATTGTCCAAAGGCAACGTAAGGCAATTAGACATGTCCCTTTTGGTCATTTAACCCACGTATCAAAACCTACCTACGACCGCGTGTGGTCTCAACTCTCATAAATCAAACCGAACACAGGCGTTAATCTTCGTTCTTCTCTCTCTCTCTTCATTTTCCTCTCCTTTTAACTTAGCAGCAAAAACCACAGAGAATTTTCCTTCTTTGCTCTCTTATTGTTATCTCTCTCTCTGCCAAGTCCTCAAGAATTCAACTTGTTTTCGTATTCATGAAAGCTAACCTCTCTTTCACAAGGTAACCAAGACCTTTACTTTGTCGGGTTTGTTCTTTTCTTTTATTTATTTATTGTAGTTTTATTTATTGTAAAAAAAAGTAAAGAAAAAAGAAGAGTGAATCGAGGTTTATATATGTATAACAAAGAAGACCCATTTTTCCCAGGTTGGTTTTTGTACGTGGATTTTAACCAGGAGTTCCTTATACGAAGGTTAGCTATATGTTTTCTTTTAAAAAAATCCTTCTTTTTGCATGTTTATATACATTTATTACCAACTGTTTATCGGTTAATCTGTCTTTTCTTACAGTTTTCTCTATTTGTTTAATTTGTTATGTGTTTAATCAAAGGGAATTGCATGTTTGTTTTTCACTGAAACAATGGACATGTTACTCTCGAGTTTCGATGAGATTGTTCGACATTGACGAACTGACAGCTATGTGTCGTTAGGGTAGTTTAGATTTAGATTTAAGCTTTTTGTTTGTTTGTTTTTAATCTGCTCAATCAGTATATGAGTATGTGCCTTGGAAGCTCAATGTCGGTTACCAGTTGGTTTTGGTTCTCTCTGTTGATAGTTTAGATTACTAGAAATATGAATGGTATCTATTTCGATTGCAATGATGAGGCTTCATGCTCGGATTAAGGGCTTCCGATTTTTCGGCTTCCAGAACTATGTTGGAAGTTTCATTGCTGATTTCGGTTTAATTTTATGTATATTTTGAATGCATATATGTTCATGAGATGATTATGATGTATTTTTGATGAACTTAGTCTGCAAAACTGTAACTTTCTTTTTGATGAATGCTGGTAATTATAGTTTTTTACTCACCGAACGATTCCTCTGTTTTTTCGATCTCGAACAAAAATTGTTGCTTTAGAGAAATTATATTTGGCATATAGCTTCAAAGGAGTTTACTTTAGCATTTACGTGTAGGTTTGGCATAATAAATTATTAAAGTTTAATTTTTTTTTGGCTCAATTCTTAAGCAGATGGACA